CAGAAAAGCTCACTTGAGCCTTCGGCTCAGGTGAGCTAAAAAGAGATACTTCGGTCTTATTCTATTTATTAGTCTATGGCAGGCCTTTATGAATTTAGTAGAACATTCAGGTATAAAGGCGGGAACACCCCCTCCCCCAGCAACATGTTTCATAGGTTTTTGAGGGGTGGGTGGGGTGGGGATTGGGGGGTCCCGGTGTCATTTTCAGCATGAATTACTATGTGAATTGTTATATCTTCGGGGGGGGGGGGTGTTGCAGGAGATATATATATATTAGGGATGTCAACGAGTACCCGGTTAACTTGGTACTCGATCGAACGTCCGAGTATCGAATACTAAAAATGGTACTCGGTTACTCGGATATGTATTTTTTCTTAATTCAAAGTACTTATTTTTATCAAAAACTAGCTTAAATTTGTATACGGTAATTAAAGCGTGTAGTCTTCTACACCTGTAAAACATCTATTATCGCCTTTGGCTGTGTATATACAATATAATTAAAGACCAATCACCCAGCCGTTCTCACCTATTGTAGTCCTTAAGTTTTGGATGGCTTCAATGATTGTTTTCAGTGAATATCAATGGTCTATTATCTTCAAATCATTTTTAAATTAGTTAGTAATATACGGCAGCGAAATCGGACGTGCATAGAAATGCCGCTACCCACTTCAAAAGTGAAGAAATATTTAGAAATAATTAAATATTTAAAAAAAAATGTTGAAAGTCAGTTTGCGAAGTAAATTTAGTGTATACGGGGGAAACAACATATGCAATTGTTTCCCCGTAAACACTAAACTTACTACACGTGTATAATATTAGACTAAACTTACTATAATATTAGACTAGCGATCCCAATAACGTTCGTTCCTTCTCTTTCGCTAGTCTAATCATCACAAACCTGCGTAACAAATTGTCCTCCTTTTGATGAAATAGATTCTAAACAAGAACTGTTAACCATTTGTAATTTTTGATGTAATAATTATGTCTTTTGTGTTTATTTGATAAATAAATTTAGTACCAAAAATCATTCACGTTGGAATCAGTGTTTATATACATTAATAAACGTGATAAAACAGCTTTGGGGTTTAACGTAGCTCAAGAAAATTAACACACTTGTATTTACATTTTTACCGAGTACCCGGGTACTCGATCGGAAAAACGTCCGAGTAACCGATTATCAAAAATTGACCGATTTGACATCCCATATATATATATATATATATATATATATATATATATATATATATATATATATATATATATATATATATATATATATATAACTTATATATATATATATATAAATACAAATAAATAATCATGTATTGACTGATGACATTAGCTTATTATTAATAAGCTAATGTCATCAGTCAATACAAGATTATTTATTTGTATTTTTCTCAAGTTGACGTGTGCTCTATTTTATTACTTAAGTATGTAATTAACATAATGAAACATACCCTTTTCCACATCACATCCTGTATCAGCCCTTGACCAATATTAGTCCTCGGGCTGATACGGGATGTGATATGAAAAAGGGTATGTATTATTCTCTCTCTCTCTCTCTCTATATATATATATATATGTAAATCATAAAAATTATAGCCAAGGTTAAAGTTTTTCAAAAGTTAGTCAAACTCCAAGGTCAAGGTGTCAAAATGCTTGGTACCCAAGGGAAGGTCTTGTCACAAGGAATTCATAAGTATTATATAAAAGCCCTAGCTCCAAAAATTCTAAAGTTATGGCCAAGGTTAAAGTTTTTTTTTAAACAAAAAATAGGTCAAACTCTAAGGTCAAGATCAAATGGTCAAAAATATTTATACTCCAGTAAAGCTCAAAAGGAATACACACGTAACGTATAAAAGTCCTGTCACCAATCATTCAAAGTTTATGACTCAAGGTGAAAGTTTGGTAATTTTTTGCAAAAGGGGGTCAAACTCCAAGATAAAGAGGTCAAATATGTGAGACGTACCCAAAGAAAGGCCTTGTCACAAGGAATATACTGTGAAACATAAAAGCCATATCTCCAACCATTCAAAAGTTATGGGCAAGGTTAAAGTTTTTTGGGGGACAAACAGATAAACAGACGGACAGACAGAGCAAAAACTATATGCCGAATCTTCGATTACGGTGGCATAAAAAAAGACTTCAGAGGTTCTAAAACATTTTCTTTATTTTCCTGAAGACACACTGAACAGCTAACTTGTCTTGGTTGTTCACATCCTGAAACTGAGTAAGAAATTTCACATTTAAATAAATCGAAATAATATATTAATGAAAATGTTTTCTTACCTAACTGCTAGCTTATTTAATGTTTGTGTGTGTGAAAATTTTACTAATATAGGTAACTGAACATCCCCACAACGTCGGCCGTGGGACACGGTCATGAGTATAGACGTTGTGTTACGGATATCCGATCCCAGCCAGGAAGGATAAAGCTTAAATTTATTATTTTATTTAAAATGAAGCTTAAAATTGAGACAACAATTATCATTTTATGCATCTCAATATGATTCAAGGTTCTCTGAAGTCTTAGAAACGGCCTTTTAAAAAGTTGACATTTGTACCACGTAAAAGAAAAAAATAATTAATTTTTAAAGAAATCGAATTTCCTTTAATCTAGCATTAGATACCAATGCTTATTAGCAAGATATGAAATTAGACGTGATATGTGATGTCTAACAATGATAACAAGCATTTTACACTATGTATTATATAACAACTGAAGTAAATGTATAAGCTTAAAAAAGATGCAATTTTCTCCAATGTCTGGATACCTATATTTTTTTTATCCTAAAATATATTTGTTGATCAATTTTCAATTAGAAAATGCATAGCTGGTGTTTTTATTCGCATTTCCTGAAAATATATTTGAGATTTGATAATTTTCCCTACATGATATGATTAATCTGAAGAAATACCATGGGTGAATTCACGTTGTTCTATGAAATCAGAGACATTTTTGTAAGCATTTTCAATTACTTAAAAGCTGATTTTCAGAACCTGAGGGTCGGACTACCTTAAATGGATAATGGCTTTGAACAAAATGTAGCAATGTAGAGTATGGAAGCCCATTTAGGACCTATCAATTTTTATTTTTTAAATTCGATAAAACGAATTACCAAATTTGTTATAACGAATTTAATTCGTTATAACAATTTTTTGAATTCCTGATAACGAATTAAATTTGTTATAACAAATTTGTTGAATCCGTTATAACGAATTCAAAAATTTGTTATAACAGATTAAATTCGTTATAATGAATTCTAAAATTTGTTATAACAAATTAAATTCGTTAAAACAAATTCTAAAATTTGTAATAGCGAATTAAATTCATTTAATGAAATTCAACAATCGGGGTCTATAGTAAATTAAATATGAATTTGATATAACGAATTGCCGAATTTATTAAAACGAATTATAACCCTTATTACAAATTAAAGAATTCGTTTCAACGATTTAATTCGTTATAAGAGGTTTTAGAATTCGTTAAAACGAGTTTAATACTTTATAACAAATTTACGAATTCGTTATAACAAATTCAAAAACATTGTTATAGCAAATCTAATTCGTTATAACGAATTCAAAGAAATTGATATAACGAATTTAATTCGTTATATCAATGCATACGCATATGTTTCCTCGATCGTCGTCTTAAGCCAAGGTCCGGTGTCCGTGTAAAGCTTCTCCTATCCGAGACTGGAGACCGTAGATATATGACATGCTGGCACGTCATATCACAAAAACGTGAAAAACGCCTGGAAAACGTCAGACCGTGGTTTTGCGACGATGACGTTTCCTACAACAGGGACTTGACCGACGTTACATATTTTTTCTTATAAAAAAAAAACCCACAGGTATGGGGTTATATTTTTTTTTATAAGAAAAATATGTAACTTCAAATGTCTGTGTTTCCTGTACATTTACCTTTCTGTAAAGAATTCTCTTTATGATTAACAAATTATCACACTTACACGTTTGGTCGACAGTGGCAATGGCCGTCTGAGAGGCACTCCCAGTGCATGTTGACGGGACACTTGCCAAGAGTGTTACATGTGGCCACAGCAGAGCAGGCTGCAAAACAGAAAATGACGTATAAAAAAACTGCTAAATGAGGAATTCCAAGTTCAAGTTTAATGTCAGTGTTTTGTCCAATGAATGTGTGATTTTCCAATGATGTTATGAAATGAGCTTATTTCCTTTGATCTTACTTGTATCAGGAGCTGTGTGAACACATGTGCACTGATAGTCAACACATGTCAGGTGGAAACCATTGTGACACAAAGTAGTACATCTAGATGTATCTCCATGCCAACCACAGTACTCGGAAACACAAAGTCCTGTCCAAAAACACACTGGATGATTACATTTTTTTTTGTTTCATACACGATGCATGACAATGAAATTTAATTTCTACGGCTAGAGCCTGTAAACATGAGTTAAGTTGGGAGGGTCTAAATTCAATATTTTTACTTCTTACCAATTATTGACAAAAACAAGAGAGCTACCTTCATCGTAGTTCAAAGGTTCTTCAGACAGTGTGGAAATATTTCTACATGATATCAGGCTTATCTCATCACGCCTTTATTTTGCGTGACAAAATCTACTAAATATATATGACCGTCTGTGTGCGCGTGCCGCTTATCTCAAATTATTTCATAACGATTCAAAATCGAAGCAAAAGCGTATAACTTTAAAAAAAAAAAAAAGAATATATTATTAAAATCCTAACACCAATAGCTAGCTCTTATCCTGGACCCAATGGTGCAAAACCTCTGCATAATTACATTTTGATATGTAGTTAAGCTTTAAACTTAACCCCTCCCCCTTTTTTTTCTTACAAGAACATTTTATGGCTTAGCCTGCTTAGGCAATGATAAATGGATTCTTTTAAACCCATAAACGATAAATTCTCTTCTTTATTAATTAAAAATAATCATAATAACAGATGTTAACCCTGGTACGGAAAATAAAGCGCCTTGGTTGCAGATAAGGTTCCGCAATTACACTCCAATTAATATATCCGGTATAAACATCAAGCATGAAGTCCAAGGGCGTAGCAATAAATATTTTTATCAAACAAATGAATTTAAAACCTCTCAAAAACATAAAATTTACTTTTGATCCATATCATAAAGGAGTTCGTTCGATACGGTAGGTAAAAAAGGAATTCCTATTTGAAATAGTTTTAGATACTGATAGATTTCATTTTGTAAGTGGAAGTTTGTTGGACAATGGACATGGTGGAGAAAATTTATATTTCAGAGAGATGATGTGCATTATAAATTCACCAAAGTTGATAGATACAAATCAAAACTTAACAACAAAAGTCGACATCAAAAGTGACAGGACCAGTCCACAAATGCAGCTAAATTTTGGTAAGAAAGAACATGTATTTTTTTTTTCCTGGTTAACTTTCAAACGAACATGTTGTTTTCATGCTGAAAGGTTCATTAATAATGGTGATTTTTTTTTTTTAAACAAAGGATTTACCGGTACCTGTGGTTTGTTTACAACTGGAGATTAAAAAATAATAATAAAAGCAATTGATTAAAATACGATTTTCCATTTGCTTTTTCATCCAAGTAACAGTGTATCACTTTTAAAAATAAAAGTTTGTTCAGGTCAAGGATGTTCCATTCTTTCATAAATCTGATTTAAATTAAAATCCTTTTTTTTTGTTCTCCAGCTGATGGTCATACAGTGATATTTAAAACTGAACATTTAAGTACATTGACAATTGCCCAGAAATTTGCCAAACTTTGTCAAGATCGAGTAGAAACTGTCACAGCAGGAGAGTCAGCAATTTTTGCAGCTTCTAAACCAGGAAAGATGGGAAAGAAGAAATAGTGTTTTTTATGTGACAAATTTTGTTTGTGAATTTTTTTCCTTTTTGTAATGAATGATGCATTTAGTTAGTTTGCTGATTTGAAGGGAATTAAAGGAAGAGGTATAGACATGTCTTTCTTATATATTTACCATTCCAAACACAGGTGTATTAGAGTGTAAAGGGCACTCTACTATGAATTCTGCAATACCAAGTATATAACTTTAACATGTTTTCGTTGATTATAATTCGTACTTGCACATTTGTCAGCAAACAATGTTTGTGGTTGTGTGTAAGAGAGAGAAATTCTTGTGCAGTGAGGGTTGGTGCATATTGTCGCCGACCACAATATGATAGTATGATAATATGATAATAATATGTACTCGCAAAACTCAACAACAAGTAAGAGCACTCAAGATATTTTCGTTGGCGAAAATTGTTGCCCTGCATAATTATATTATAAGTGGGATATGTAAAGTACATGCACGCACACTGTCGCTTATTCTTGCAGGGGGGGGGGGGGGGCTCAGTTGATAAATACTGTCGCTGGTGTCCATATGGTGACGATATGTACAGGGCGACAAAATGTACGTCATAGATACAGTTTCGATTGTTACTTAGCTTTTTTTGTACGAAGATTGGTTAACAAGGAGAGCGTTAATATTCTCGAGGCGAAGCCACTAGATAAGACAATTTCAAACGTGATACGACTTAGTTGACATTTGGAGTCCTAACAAGACTAGTGAACATGAAAGCCACACTCTGTTTAGCTATCATTGCTTGTTTTGTTGGTGAGTTTAACGATTGTTTATATCGTCAATGGAAAATAATGTATGCATTTACGGGATACACATTCATAAAACTAGACACGTTATATTTAAAATTGCGGTTTCCTAGTATTTTCATTCGAACGTTTTCTTATAACGTACTGATATTAGTATTATATTTTATTCTTTTCGTAACAATTACATTCATTGAGACTTTTTAAAAATTGGTCTGCATATTGTTCATTTGAAGTTGGTCGACAAATCCGCAAGATCTCGCAAATCGATGTGTTCTACATTGTGAGTTTCATGTTCCAACATCTTGCAGAAAAATATCTGAACACAGAATAATAAAATTACAGTGATCTATTATTCTAGCTGTGGTGTACAGCGAAGACTGTAGACAAACATCTGACTGTGTGAACACCGCTTGTGCCGCTGGGGCTTTTGTTGGATGCTCCCACTCCGCAAGACAATGCACATGTTACACACATAACACGCATGGAATTGGTATGTCTGAATTACACTGGGCAATGTTTGTCTCAAGGGTAATTTATATATACTTTACATTTATAAGCCAGACAGAAGGTGATTACAAAATTTCCACTTATTGAAATGAACAAAAATAAGAGAGACCCATGGATGAGTCCGCAGTGTAAAGAATGTTATGGACGTAAAAGATCTGGCTTACTGTGTGGCCTCACATCAAGATGAAGGCAATTATAGCATAGGTTTTAAAAAGTCAGGAATGTTTAAAATGCATACGGTTACCCACCTAATTTTTTTGCAAAATGTTTGAGCCTATCACGACAATGCCATCTTGACCATGGTTTGACAACTGAAAACTTTTGAATTCTGGTGTAGTGGATCCTTCAGATGATTTTAAATAACGCATAAAATGTCTCAAAGGATATAACTTTTTAATCGAACAAAGAATATACGGTAAAAAAAAAACTCATATCTAGACAAATAACTCAGGAGAAGTGACAAACAAAAATTTAACTATTACGGAATTGGTATTGAGAGTATAGCGAGCCCAAAACTTGTACGATGACACAATTTTCTCTGTATAAATGCATCCTCTCCACTTTATTGAGAGTATTCTTTTTCCAAGTATGGGCTTTTTCAAAGATCGTGTGTGTGTGTGTGGTTAACTAAAATATGGGAAAAGAGGACTCGCTGACCCGCTATTCAATGCACTTTAAAAGTTCAAATGTTCGTTTCTCTTAAACTATTTTAAGTCTAGTTACTGAAGGATCATTTCACAAACCAAAAATGACAAACTTCGATGTGAGTTACGTGTTTACTGACGATAAAATGGTCGTGTTTGTTTTATCGTTTTAGTTCGATCCTTGAACAAACCCCACATGCATTATCTTTTCTCCCCCCCCCCCCCCCCAATCATTTTCTTGTCTAAAATTATCCGCATAAAAGCATTGTTTTATAATTTTTCCTACGAATGACAAATGCATTGCATTTCAACACCAAAGAATATTTAGGATAGAACAAAAATTCTGAACATTTTCCTTTTCAAAGCATTTTTTTCCAGATACCCCTTTTCTCTCAATTATTCATATTAATTTAAAATGATATTCGATATGTATACTTGTTTTCAGCTTGTACTGACCGTGACACATGCCGCGCCTCCTCTGCTCTTCACTGTGATAGGGACGAAAAACACTGCGTGGACGGATTCTGTCACTGTACACACAACTGACAGGGGTACGCACTCTACATATCTAGTTGCAATAATGCTAATATTTTTATATGATGTTTTCTCCCCCCCCCCCCCCAAAAAAATAAGAGGGCTATATTATTGCAGCTATACATATCCGTCATTTAAATATCCTCAAAGTTTGTCGTCATAACCGTTTTCCTTTTTACTTGGGGTACTCAATACTTTCTGATTCTGTAGAATGAGATTGCTTCATGTTCATACATGTTGTGATAATATACCAGTTTAAAGAATATTTTATTTTTCAGTCTAGGTCAAGAAAAGAGAATTCCGTTAGTTATATGCTTCAACATCAAATAAAATGTTTTCAAAATAAGATGTTTGTTTAGACTAATTTTAGGATACTTTTCCCCGCCACTTGACATGCAACATACATGTGTCATGTTGTAAATTTTGAATTTACAGGGTGTCAGTAAATTCAAAATTTACATGACACACGCATTTGGTGCTTAACTCTCTACGTGAGATGTGATAAATGAAAATTAAAACATAGATACAATGTATTTTACGAGTAGATAATTATTAAATCAGTTACATTTCTTCATTGTTTTAAAACAAAGCTACAGTTACAATGTTAACGTCCATCTTAAAGTAGAGTTTTAGAGTACATGTACCACTTCTAAGGAAATAGGACCAGAACTGTTGGTGAAGGACTTTGATACAATACCACATATCATGCAATTTCTAGTAATCAGGGCATCATCGTTATTGAAATTAAAAAGTAGAAATATGTCACGTAATTTAGTGTACTTGTTGAAGTTTTTTTAAAAAGCATTTCACAGATTCTACTTTATATAGAAAAATCCATGCGCTTACCAAGTTTTATTGACATCAGAGTAAATTAACTTAAAGACAAAATTCCGATTCCAAAAAGTTTATATATATATATATATATATATATATATATATATATATATATATATATATATATATATATATATATATATATATATATATATATATATATATATATATATATATTAGGGATGTCAACGAGTACCCGGTTAACCTAACAAGAACTGTAAACCATTTGTAATTTTTAATGAACAAATGTATTAATTATGTCATTTGTGTTTATTAAATAAATAAATTTAGTACCAAAATTCATTTCTGTTGAACTCCATATTTATATACATTCATAAAACGTGATAAAAACAGCTTTGGGGTTTAAAAAATAACAATTAAAAATTAACAAACTTGTATTTATATTTTTACCGAGTACCCGGGTACTCGGTCGGAAAAACGTCCGAGTAACCGATTATCAAAAATTGACCGATTTGACATCCCTAATATATATATATATATATATATATATATATATATATATATATATATATATATATATATATATATATATATATATATATATATACATATATATATATACATATATATATATATATATATATATATATATATATATATATATATATATATATATATATATATATATATATATATATATATATATATATATATATAAGGTATCTTTACGTAGTCTACTTTCAATCCAATTACACAGTGTACTATTGACACCAGAATATACGCTGCAGGAGGATAACATCTTCACATTTTTTTAGCACGACATCATTGATCGCAATATAAATATCTTCATTAGATGCATTAAGTTTCATTAAAATCAGGTGAGATTTTGATATTTTTCATTGAATTAAAAAAATCTTCAGTAGAATTATGAGTCTACTTCTGTATCACGTTGTCACATTTTTTCTTCCTCATAAAGGGGACGAGCGAACAATTTAAGGCATATAGCGTCAGATGTATAAAAGTCATATTTATTTTGTGAATTTAGTATCTAAAGTAATATTCTTATTGAAATTTATGAAATTATGACAAACAAAACTTTTCTGCGAAATTTTTATCAATAAAAAATGTTCATTATAAAAAGAATAGGCCCAAGGGCTTTAACGATCACCTTAGTATAATACAACACTGCAAAGGATCCATAGAAGTAGAAAATAAAATAAGAGGCCCATGGGCCACATCGCTCACCTGAGCACTTCGGTTAGGAAAAAACAGAAATCAGTTAAGTATTGAAAAGATTAAAATAGAAAGGGAACATAATTTAAACACACTTGAATCTACACAACCTAGGATGCGTCTGAATTAAATTGACTAATCATGGCTTTTCTGTTCTTGAGAAGAAGATTTTTAATGATTTTTATAACTATATAACTTTAATCGCCCATTGTGGCCCCTGCCCTACCCCGTGGTTCATGATTTGAACTTGAATCTACACCACCTGAGGATGCTTCCATATAAATATAACTAATAATGACTTTACTGTTTTTGATATTTTTTCTGCAAATTTCTTTGTAAAACTTTGATCGCCCATTGTGGCCGGTGTCCTACTTCGTGGGTCATGATTTGAACTTGAATCTACACCACCTGAGGATGCTTCCATATAATTATAACTAATCATGACTTTACTGTTTTTGATATTTTTTCTGCAAATTTCTATGTAAAACTTTGATCGCCCATTGTGGTCCTGCCCTACCTCATGGGTCATGATTAGAATTTGAATCTACACTACCTTAGGATGCTTCCATATAAATATGACAAATGTATTCCTTTGTTAAACTTTTATCAGCCGTTATGACCCCTCGATCCATACCTGACGGGGGTCATGATTTGAACAAACCTGAATCTACACTATCTGAGGATGCTTCAATGATGGCTTTGTAAAAATTTGATCGCCCATTGTGGCCCCACCCTACCCCCAGAGGTCATGATTTGAACATATTTGATTCTACACTACCTGAGAATGCTTCCACATAAGTTTCATTTTTTTGGCCCAGTGGTTCTTGAGAAGAAGATGCTTAAAATATGTCAATATGTCAATAATTTTTTGATTGAAATTGGACCAGTGGTTCTTGAGAAGTCATAAATGTAAAAAGTTTACAGACAGACAGCTAACGGACAGACAGACAGACGGACGCCAGAAATGTGATAAGAAAAGCTCACTTGAGCCGAAGGCTCAGTTGAGCTAAAAACTGATAGATAAAGATATACATGTATTGCCCCAAACCACGAGAAATATACGATGATCAGGGATTAGCAAAATAGTTAGTCCAGTACTCAGTAACAAATAATAATAAGCAGATCTATTTATTTGCCTGAACTTGCCAGTGCTAATACACTAACGCATTTTCACTATATGATTGATATCATTAAAGCCCCGCCCACCACCAGAACATCTAACCCAGAGGTCATGAATTTCACAATCTTGGAAGAGGCATCCTTGCACATCATAAACATGTATTAGTCTACTAAATACCTAGAAACAGAGAAGATTTTAAAGAATTTATGCATTTTCACTATATGTCAATTTAGCCCCGCCCTAACATCAGAAACTCTGACCACGGGGCCATGAATTTCACAATTTTGGAAGAGGCATCCTTGATCATCATAACCATGCACTTAGTTTATCTGATAAATACCCAAAAGCAGAGCAGCAGCTTTTCAAAGAATAAAATTAATGCAGTTTTACTATATGATCAATAGAGCCCCACTTTATAAGAATTTTTACCTCTAACCCAGGGGCCATAAATTTCACAATTTGGAAGAGATACCTTTGCTCATCATAACCATGTACTAAGTTTTTCTGCTAAATATCCAGGAGCAGAGAAGTTTATGCATTTTTTTTGTTATATAATCAAAAGAGCCTCACACTAACACCAGAACCCCTGACCCAGGGGCCATGAAATTTATAATTTTAGAAGAGGCACTCTTGCTCATCATAACTATGCATTTAGTTTATTTGCTTAATACCCGGGGGAAGAGAAAATTCTTAAAGAAATAATGCATTTTCACTATAAAATCAATAGACCCCCCCCCCCCCCCCACACACACACACACCAGAACACCTGACTAACGGGCCATGAAATTCACAATTTTGGAAGAGGAACCCTCATTCATCATAACCATGCACTAAGTTTATCTGTTAAATATCCAGAAGCAGAGAAGATATTCAAAGAATTTATGCATTTTTAGTTTTTTTTACTATATAATCAATAGAGCCCAGCCCTAAGACTCGAACCCCTGACCCAGGGGCAGTGGAATTCACAATTTTGGAAGAAGCATCCTTGCTCAACATAATTATGCACTTCGTTTGTTTGCTAATCCCCTGATTTTCAAAGAATTAATGCATTTTCACTATTGCATAATCAATTTTGGAAGAGGTAATTCTTAGGTATAGTGCATGGGTCTTTGCTCCATGTTTTTGCTAACAAAATAATACATATTTTTACGCATACTTTGTGGATAAATTTTCAAAAAAATGGAACAAATCCCTACTCAGATGGAAAAGTATGTTATAGTATGAGAAAATGATAATTTTTGCCCTCTTTGGTGTGTGTATGCTATTTCATAGACAAATAAATTCAATCTGTGAGAATTTTGCAAATTGTGGAGAGTTATCATAAAGTATACGCTAATTTTAGATGAATTATCAAAGAAAATTTTGTTATAATTGAGATTTAATTTTTCACCTTCTTATTTAGTTTCAGAGTTAGTTTTGTTCGCCTTGTTTACCCATCTTCTTAATATGTATATGTAAAGCCATAAAACATTTCACATTTCATTGTGGTCAATATAAGGTTCAAGTTCATGAATTTCAACAAATCAATGTACAGCCTAATGCAATGGGGCTACATTACCAGAGATCTCTGGTTTTATATGTGACGCAGAAAAATAAAAAGTGTGACAAGTTAGTAAAAATCAAATGACACGCCAGGCGCACAGGTACTTGTGGACAGGACCCCCCCCCCCCTCCCCCCGATATTCAACCCCGGGGCTTGTTGGACATTTTTTCACAAATTATATTTATTGCACATATTCATCTTGTGTACCATAGGAAAAAATCGTGAAAACCCCAAAATAATCGTTCCACACAAAAATACCCCACTATACATCTCTCTTATAATGTATAGTTGGGTATTTTTGTGTGGAACGATTATTTTGGGGTTTTCACGATTTTTTCCTATGGTACACATGATGAATAAGTGTAATATATATAATTTGTGAAAAAAAATGTCCAACAAACATCGGGGTTGAATGGGGGGGGGGGGGGGTCCTGTCCACAAGTACCTGTGGCCAGATGATAACTTCAGTATCACATTTTTAAAAGGCCTATTTAATATCATTATATTATATATTCTACATGTTGCATGTTAATCTCTTCATCATATGTACTATTAAAAATATTGTCTATGAGATGTATGTCTCTTGACTTTAACTATTTAATAAACTATAAAAACTAAATTATCGCGGTAATTAAAATCTAATTTCATGGCGAACGTATCGACCAATATTTTTTCTTGACTCGATTTATTAATTTGTTTATTTATATATATCGATAGGTAACTAAATTAAATTCTAAGAACGTTTTTAAACCTTCATAACTAAAAATACCGCGATGCAACGGAATCTTACCATCGGCTCATACATTCAGTGGCGGTTTTGCTATGGTTGTATGTTCGTTCGCCCTAAAACTTGTTCGCCCTTGACGCCGTTCGCCCTCATTCCCGTTCGCCCAGAGTCCGATCGCCCTAAAACTTGTTCGCACAGGGTCCGTTCGCCCTATTTATATTGCAGAAAGTTGATAAATGAAGCAATGGATTTTTTAAATAAATTAAAATTATATACAGTACATTGGTACATAAATTGCACACGGGAGACAACAGAAGTATGCATGTGGTCACACTATAAAATAAATACCTGTCCTATCAAAGACCCGGCAGACCAACAGAAATTAACGTCTCAGTCCTTTAATTGTTTTCAAAACATAACGCAGATTGTATGATCCCCTAAATTACAGTGACATTATATTAAGTATAAAATTTTAAATAAATATCAAATTTGAATTATTTAATTAAGATTACGGTAAATAAAAAAAAATTCTGTAGCAACATTTGAAAAAAAACACCAAGTCGTAAAATATTGAATAAAATTAATAATAAATGTTGATATTTACTATATACTATATACTATATATATAATAGGGCGAACGAGATATAGGGCGAACAAGAATAATGGCGAACGGACCCTGCGCGAACGGACTCATGCGAACAGGTAGATAGGGCGAACGAACCTGATACCTTCAGTGGCTAAGAGTGAAACGAACGACAACTCTGCCTAGGAGATTGATGGATCTCTCCAGAGACACTCTCAGGATTTCGAGAGTCCTCTGGAGTTTACCTTGCATGTCATAGTCGGCGTGTGGCATGTTCGTGAAAAAATACTCTTTGAACTAATACAATATTTGACCGATTAGACTTATATTTTTTAAAACAGAAAAACATGTTTTGTGATCGAACCTGGACTGGCTGGAGCTTCGTATAAATGAATGAAGACACTAAATTTAGAGGCCGAACATGTCGATGTCAAGCAGGGACGTACATGTACATGTTACGTCCTGGTTCAGGATAATTTTGATCACTATGGATTAACCGGACTTTTGATGAGAAGAAACAATCAACTCTCTTCAAAAAAGGACATCGAAACTTAGGGGGAAAAATTACCTGAACACTTTTAATTTAATATGTTTGTTATTAAAATCACGACAGGGACTGCAGACCCTGTGGCCTAATGGATAAGGCGTCGGCCTCCGGAGCCGAAGATTGTGGGTTCGAGTCCCATCAGGGTCGAACGCTACATATTTTTTTCCTTCAAAATTATAATAAATTTTCTATCATATAGCTGATATTAAAAAACACCACATTGCACAGGGGGAATACCATATCATTAAGAATAGATTCTGCCTGAAATATTAACAAAAGTAATGAAAGAAATTAGATCAATACTGATTGTTTATTGAATCCACATATTAGCTTCTTTAAGCATAAAGCAATATAAATTAAACATACACTTTTAATCTGTATTTGTACATGATATAACGTATCCATTCCATTGTATAAGCTTATTATACCATTCCATTGTATAAGCTTATTATACTTTACATAGTCAAACAGGATGTCACTGCTATCCTGCAGATCTGACATAAAACAGGTACAACATAATATATACGGCAAGCAGTGCTATTTAAAGAAAACATATCAGCCTTCCTCATCACTGGAGATGACATTTTTCTTCCGGAGAACTTGTCGTAGAGGTACATGATCGTCAAGATCAGAATCCGAGTCATCAGGAGGCTGTGTCAGTAAGGTTGCAGGGAAAGAAGCTGAAAAAAAGTTTTAACACAATTACATGTAATAAATAATGAAATGATTAAAAAGTTGCTTTTTTGACAGCATAATGACACTTGATCATTAGAAAATGGCCTGTAAGACATGCTTGATTCACTTGAATGAAATGTGGCTGTTCTCAAAAGTCCATTTAAACAATGCAAATTAGGAGCAGAGCCAACAAGAACCTCTGAAAACAGACGTGAGATCAGGTGCCATGGAAGAATCATCTAGGGAATCCATACTATCTTTGTAAATGAAATCAAATTTGAGATTTTCAGGTCTACTGGCTTATCAAAATGATTATGTAGATCTTGATGTTAAATAGCTGAATCAGACTATGAATTCTGACTTCTGAGAATACCCGGTAACAGGAAGTTTGAGGGACATGGCCTAATACTGTTTTGTTTGGAACCTGGCATAAAATTTGTGAAATTCAAAAAGATGCAAGTATTCTACTCACTCTTTATAAAACTGTTTAGATTTCAAAATGTGAAAAAAAAAATTGAAATGTCTCTCAAATTAAAATTGGAAACCTATCTAAATAACTTACTTTGAAAAAGTGCATTGAATGCTATTGGAAAATGCAGTGTGCATGCATCTGGATAAATACAAGTCCATTTATAATTTGAACTGGGTTCTCTAATGGACCCCTCGTGCAAATTACCATATGAGAGGAATTTTTAGCAAGAAGAAAATTTAGCAATTTTTCCTTAAAAAATCGGTATTTAATTTTAGTGAGAAGTAATTTTAGCGATTTTGTGATGTCTTGAAAGATAACAGTAACCTCATACCGTATTTGGATGAATATGTACTTTTTTCCTAGAATATTTTTCTGTGAGAAAGGGGTGCCTATTTCACATCACAATAGGATTTTGACAGGTTTTTCTTTCAGGTGAAACATGGCTTTAATACAGACATAGCGTAGTATTACCTATAGAGACCTAGCCAATTTCTTGTTGTTTACCGCTTTATTTAAAACCTTAGTAAATTATCGTTGGAATGTAAACTTGCTGAAAATGTTATATTTATAAACTGTGGATAGTTAAATTATATTAAAAAGAGAGTTCAAGTTAATTTGAGCTGCATATTCTCGTCTCCGTGTACACCGCCATAAACAATGTTATTTATAGAAGTTATATTTTCCTTTCCCACGTGCTTGCATAATCATAGTACATATGTACCTAATCATTCGGGCACTCAGTTTAAAAAAAAAAATAAGCAATTTTATAATGAAATACAATGAAAAAAAATTATTTTGATTTTAAATAACTCGGTGAAAATTCATTTCAACATAAACACCCCTCTATTGTCCCAATACTTGATATCGCGATTACTTAACTTAATGGAACTCTTTCGCGGTAAAGGTAGGAAACGTCTGTTAGCTGGGGGCAATGTGCTGTTGCATACACCGCGAGATCAAGCATTGTGGATTTTTAAAGGGTAGATGTGAAAGAAGTCCTGGTGAAATATCTTGCGGAACATTTGCTGAAGCACGCTTATAAATTTTAAGAGAACTTGGTCCTCATGTTTAACATTTTTATTGATACTTTTTTCAGTAAGCCGACTCTTCTAATGAATTCAACCATTTCTTTCCCATTATCTTTACTTTTGGAAGCTGATAAAAAAAACTCTAAACTTCCCAAATTAGATAACGTACTATTAATAATTTGAAGTTCAACTCTTTGCAATACATTGTACTTTCGGCAAAGTAGTTTTTCGAATCATTCGATTGTCTCTAGCGTAATTCATGCCCCTGAAATCTCGAGAGAATTAGAGTTTCTTCGACTTTGCCGCAAAAGAGTGGCATTAAGTTAGACAACTGTGAGGTAATCGCAATACTACCAGGTAAGTATTAAAGCCATTGTTGTGAACCTGTGCACTTGTCACTTGACGATTATCTCAACAACCCTCCAGACAAATAAATTGTCTACAGATTCCTAAGCATTGTTTATACATTTAGAGCACTAATTATTTACTACCCCTATTAATGGCTTTGATTGTTTTCATTGTAATAATTAATGGGTCAACTGAACTGTGTTTCTTTTTTCCAAAATTTTCAAGCCCAAAAAGGGGGTGTGTGTGCATATTTTACACCAATGCATATTATATTTAGCCAAATACGGTATATGAGAATAAATTGTTAGCGATATTTAATTTTAGCGATCCCAACACCCTCACTAAAAATGCCAAAATTGAATTCTCGCTAAAATTTCTGCTTATATGTATTAATTACTCTATAAATAGGATCTTAGGACCAGTGATAATCAAAACTCACCTGACTTTTTAGGAGGTTGCTCCATTTCCTCCTCTTCACTGTCTGACATAATAAGACGTTTAGAGGCTGATTTAGATTCCTTACTGTTTAATGGTCCTGGCTGAGAATCATCATCAGAATCAAATGACAGTTTTGGCTTCACAGGTGATATTTTTTTCTTACCTTGAACATATTAAAACATATATAAAATTAATCTCATTACATCACAAGTAATATAACCCCCCCCTCCTTCTCCTTCACCAAATACATTGAGAGGAACAAGGTTAAAATATTAACATTCATATCACAAACACAGGGAGATCATCTGTTCCTTCTTCAAGTCCTCTGATTTTTTCTCACTGGACTTACCCTCACTATCTGTCATCTTTTCCTCAGATGACTCATCATCTGAAGCGATCATCAGCTTCCTCTTTTTACTATCTGGGTTGGAATCAGAGTCTGAAGTTCTCGTCCTCTTTACTGTGGTCACCAGAGGAACATCATCATCATCACTGCTGTCAAACTGTAGAGGCTGGGTCTGAGACCTCTCCTCTCTCTCTGGTGAGCTTGCAGGGCTTTGGTTCTCTTTTTCATCTTCACTACAACAGCAGTGGAGGAAGTCAATTATTTCAAGGGTAATCATATTTTGGTGTCTTAAATGCTGGTTCATTCCCCCTATTTAAGTTTTCAGGCTAATACATGTATATTAAACATACAGAAGCTTGGCACTAAATGTGCTAATTTAATATGATTACATTAAATCAGCTAGAAATGAAGATTAAATTCTGAGTGACTAATTTACACGTATGTACCTTTACATGTACAGTTACTGTAATAGATGAAGTGATGTCTTTATACAAATGATGCTTAAAACCTCTAGTCACTTTCAATTAGTAAGAAACTTCAATACACATATTTCATTAATTGTAAATATAACTCTATTTTCTAACCTTTTTTCACTGTCTGAGTCCAAAAGCCTCTTAATTCTCCTTTTCTTGCTGGAGGAGTAAACTCCCTTTTTCTCTGTAGATCTAGGTGGCGCTAACACTTCAGCCCTTACTGGGCTTGTCACTGAAGTGCTTGGCCCCTCTGTGATCGCATTGCTGGAAGGTGGAGAGGCCCTGTAAATCAGAATTTATTATTCACTAGTCATAAAAAGAAAAGATGTTAGGGATTACTTAGTGGCTGAAAATACTCCTCATCATATATTAAATAAAAGAAATTGAACTGTAGTTATGGATTTATCCACCAAAAAATCTGCATAGTACCATTTTAGTACAACTGTTAAAAAATGAAGTTTATCACAGTGAGGAAGAAATCTATCTCGCCACAGTTTTAAGCACAAATATTACATTTAAATGAACTCTTTTTGACCACTCAATATGACAAAAAATAAAACCTTTTCCGTTCTCTCCTTCCAAGTCGACCTCCCTCTTTATCCTGTTTCCTCTTTTCTGCCATCTGCTTCAGCAAATTCTCAAACTTATTCTTCTTCTTTGGTTTCTTTTCCTTCTTCTTTTTCGTTTTTTTCCCTGGATTGGCTGTTGTTGTCTGTCTGACTTTAATTCTATCTGCCTCTACAGGCTTACCATCATCGTCTAATGTTAATCCTGCCTCTATATCTCTAAGCTCTGCTAAGGGCATCTCTCCAGGGATTCTCCAGAAAGCTTCCTGTGTTTATAATATATTTGTAGAATATGTGTGCAAAGGTAAAATAAAGTTCTTTTCCTTTTCTATAACCATGTAAAAGAACATCTACTGTTGCCCTATCCTAGCTCTGGGGGGCCATGATTAAAAGATATGAAATATATACATGTACATGTACCATAAAAGATCTTTCATATTGTAAATTTTTTTTCTCTTCAGGTCCATAGGTTTTAAGATTCTTCAATCATCACACTATCACTCAAAGTTTATCTCTCATTGGAAGGGGACATGACATTTTACTTGAACAAAATTTGAATCTTTTCAAGTTGTGATACTTGGAATGAGCCCAATGATTCTGGAGAAGTTGAAAAATGTGATGGATGATTAACAACTTTGATCAGAAAGCTTATCATAGCCTGTGGCTCAGGTAAGCTAAATGCCTTTCCCTATTTTCACCATTTCTTAATGAATTATCTCCATTTGAAAAGGACATAGTGTTTTGTTTTTTTTTTAATCAAAAGAATTGGAGTCTCCATGACTTATGAATGCTTCGTGGAAATACTGAAATTGGCCAGTTGTTCTAAAGAGGAAGTAACTATAGTTTCTTAATAGGACAAAACTCCTGTGGTGGGCACAATCAAAGCTTCCACCTCAGTATTCAGATACACCACATCTGCAAGTTTGACTTGGATACCTCGGATATAAATGAGAGACACACAGACATAGTGATTCTACAATCCCCCCTCCCAATTTTATTGAAGAGGGTATAAAAAAGATTATTAAGAAATCTATTGACACAAGCATCAAATCTGGACCACAAACAATACATCAAGCATGGATTTATCCAGCAGGAAAGTTGGAGAAGTCAGGGATCTACACCCATCCCTCTTATTCTTGAACCTCAGAGGAGTACCCCAGGAATGACTTTGGAACTCTCCCTCCCACTTCTAGAAAAGTGGGTTCTAAGAACTTAACTCCTGTATATAGATCAAAACCACCTTTACCATGAGAATACCATAGAGCAGATTAAAAAAAAACAAAAAACTGGTATGATTGTTTCCCACTTTCTGACGCTTTTCAGAAAATTATTTTTTTCCCACTAGAACTACAGTATTTGTAAAATCAGCACTTACTTGTTCACTAGATGGTGCTGAGATTCCAATATGGCGGAGGAATGATAAAAACATCTCATCTTCCATTGCTGTCTCATTTTCCTCAGTCAGTGGGACAACTGCTGCTGCCACTGTATTATCTGTTGGCAAAAAAAGTTAATATACATCTAAAATTTCATATCTTAGTTTACCTACAAGTGAAGTATATATTTCTGAAATATCACTTCTTTGTGATTTGTTTATCTACATGTAAGAGGTCTCTTGTCTTCTAACCTTTCTTCTCTTTATCGTCAGCCTTTCTTTTGATACACCTTTGAATCCATAGAATTTGGTCCTTGTATCCTATTACATACAGAAAAAATACATATTCATGTCATAGAATGAGTTTATGAAAACTTAATAAAGTGCCCCGCCACAGCATGATATGCCCGTCAAATATTGTTCAATTCTCATAAACAGTTTAGAGTACAAGAAAATCATGTCAACCTTAATTCAAAGATTTCCATGATTTTTCCATTCCTTATAATATTTGATGTTTATACATTTCCTGTAGTGCAGGCACTAATTATAATAAATTTCTCAACTGGTCAAGACCTTGACAAATGCCCATCTGCAGCCCCCTCCCTCCCCCCCCCCCCCTCCCCAATCTTACATATTTATTTGATATTTTCATAAACAATATCAAAATAGTCTTAACAATTTAATCTATAGCAAATTAATTTTGAAAATAAAAGGCTGGCCATCAAATGACATATGCTATAAACTGACAAGCAGTTTTTCTGTCTAATTCCCAAATGATACAGATAAGAGTTGCTAGATCAGAGATGCTCTAACAGAAATGATTGCTAGCCTTTCTACACACTGAACGCATTAATTATAATCTTTAACTGGATGCATGTCCATTCATTACTCCCAAGGGATGAATGGATCTGCACTATCTGCTTTAATAGTCTGCATTGTAATAAAAATGCATACTTATGTCATTCCGTTGAAAACAGAGATTATTTTTTAACTTGTTACAAAGATTTATAAAAAGAAACAAAAACTTGTGTAAACTTGATGAAATATTTTTAATAAGGTTACTGCATGACTCTTAGATTTGTAGGAACTATCTACCATAAAACATTTTTAAAAAAAAAATACTTGATGATTTCTTTGAGATTTAATGTCAGACTGGTTTTAAGCTGCAGTTCATATTGACAAGCAGACAACCCAACATGCTGATTCCAATACCCCCCCCCCCCTCCCGGGTATATTATATAATATCAAATTAGTTTATTATACAATGTCAAGTTAGTTTTCATTGCTTTTCACAATATTCATTTTAAAAGTTAAAAGGCTAGCCAACTAGATTCATTTAGTCCAACGCTGATTCCTTTGCCCAATTCCCAGGAGATATAGATAACACCTGCTTGATCAGAGATGCTCTACCAGTTAGTTCCTCACACTAAACTCATTAATTTCTCTCTAATTTGACATGTAATCTTCTGTTATCAAATTCTCATTGACCAGTGCTTGATGATTACACCCATGGGAGAGGTGGAATTTCTCTTATAACATTACATTTGTTATAGATTGCTGTAAAGTATATAATGAAAAAAAAAATAAGTATTTTCTTGATTTAACATTTTTTTAATAAGGATGCTGCAACATTCTTACATTTTTGGGGACCGTGTAATTGAATAGTATAGAGACACAGTTTTTAAAAAAAAATTCACTAAATAAAGGTCACAGTGGCCTTGAAATAGGTCTCGACACACCTTCTACCTAAGATGCATAAATTGGCCAAGTTTGATGATTCGAAGTCTAATAGTTTTCTAGTTATGAGCCGGACAGGATTTTTCCATATTTGGCCAAAGCCTCTTAATTACAGGTCAGAGCGACCTACTTTTAATGCGCGACACACCTTCTACCCAAGTCGTATCAGCTGACAAAGTTTGATAATTCTTGGCCTAATAGTATTAAAGTTATGAGCCGGACACGAAAAAGCTAACAGACGGCCAGACGGACGGACATGAAGGCTATAACATAATATGTCCCGTCTTAAGATGGGCGTATAAAAAAGATTGTACAGTGTGGACTCGTTATTACGATGTTCATTTTGTCACGGTAAAATATCGTAATACCGAGGGCAACGTAATAAAAGTTCCCAATAAAATCCAGTAAAACATCGTTTTGAAAGCTTGTTGTTGTGTTAGGAGGTGTATTTTTCTCCTTTTGTTTCCTTCTTCTGTTCAAATTCTTCATTAAAACGCTTTATACATATAATTTATTAATAACTTATCTTGAATAGATATCTTCATGATGCTATTTCTTCTATTTCCTTCATTTTAAAAGAAATGTGCACATTTTTTATAAAAACTTCGGTAATCTTCATTTATCTGCCGCCATTTCCTTTTACTTTTACTTTCGTTTCTATCTAGATAATGCGTTCATAAAATTTTCAATGTCTTCGTATCGTTACTACATAAATAACAACAATGGGCGGTTTTGGGTGTTCAATGAGCTTAGAGCTGCAGTGAACAACTGATGAAAGTGGGCAATGTGATAGGCATATTCCTGGACAGGATTTGAGAACACACAAGCTAAATGTCAAAATAAATTTGAATTTTTAAATTACTGAACAGAGTTCAATTAGCAGTTCAGCAATTATCGATTTGTATTTCTGTTGACACCTGTGAGGTAGTCCAAGCCACTATCCAAGCTGTTAAAACGTTAGTGGAGTTCAAATTTTGCCAAAATTATGTTTGATACCCAAGCTGTCAATTCCCTCTGTTTAACTGCAAACGAAATTACACATTACGTATTTAACATACAGACCCTGAAACGTGCTACTACCCCAAAAAAGCGTGTGACTTTCGTGCGCTTTTCGTTTCGTGCAAACCGTGTAGCGTTTCGTGTAAACCGTGCAGCGTTTCGTGCAAACCGTGTAGCGTTTCGTGTAAACCGTGCAGCGTTTCATGTAAGCTCCAAAGCGTTTCGTGCAAACCGTGTAGCGAGTGTGCGAGAAGCGTGTGAGAAGCATGCGACTTTCGTGTAAGAACCGTTTGAGAAACGTGCGACTTTCGTGCAAGAATCGTGTGAGAAACGTGTAGGATTCATTCGGAAGTCATTTTATTTTAAATATGGCTGTTGAAGGATTAACATGTCATTTTGTGTTGTTTGTAACTAATATTATTCGGATATATCATACCGGTGGTATTTTAAGAAAAAAAATATGGAAACAACAAAGTAAAATTACTCGGTAATGTATTTCATATTTGTTTGATTTTCTTTCTTTTTTTTATCTAAATAAAGATGGAAAGAAAATGTGTTAAAAGTAATTAATTATATGCACATCAATGTAAAGGTATTTGATTCAATACATTTTTTAAAGGGAGCAATACTGAACATTTTTTTTAAAGAAAATTCATCAGGAATCCGGTCTTGTCCTTTTCATTCATTTATTAGAATCTCTTCATCACTTTACAATTATGGTATATAGAGATTACAAGAACATATGGGTGATTAATACAAAATAATAGATAGATAAGGCAGGCGTGAGAAATAAAACACAAAATTTAGTGCGTTACTATATATGTGGAGTATGGGAATTCTAGGCTGGGGAACACAATTAATTTTTTTCTTTATAAACGAACAAAATTTTCTTAAATGTATAATACATGTACAAGATTGTGATACAAATAATTTTGAAATGATGAGATGTTTATAGTCTTTTTATGCATAAAATTGGTTGATTAATAATTGTCATATAAAGGAATCATAATTCACATGTATCGGCAAATAGGGTTAAATATTTCCGGGGGGGGGGGGGTGGCGGTGTTCAAATGAAAACACAAACTTTGAGTTTTTGTTAACACGTTTTTATAAATAATTTTCTTTTTAAAGATGCCCGATGCACCCCTTAAAAATATATTTGAATCTTCTTTACACTTCCAACACTCTTCTTACGACTGTGATCAAGGTCATTTACAACAGCGATCACGGGCTCCGCGTGCCGGGAACTGAAAAAGTGTTCTGCTACATGTATTAGCTCTTGTCAATCATGGCTAAGATGACAACCGACAATAATTCATGAATTAAATTGTTTTATTAGTATTTAATGGGTACAAATGAATACCCGTGGATTTTATTTCTTAAATTTAACCGATTGTCTGTAAACAGTGAATTAATTTACCAGTGTATTCGTGAATAAAAAATTATAAAGAAATAAATCCTGAATAAATATATATTAGTTGTTTTATTAATCACGCAGTTCTAGAGCATAATTTTTTAGTTTTTGGTCATTGGACATGTATACATGTATATTGAATGTATTGTTAAGAGCAGCAACTACTGATTCTATATATTTTTTTAATTGTCTAGACAGGGTTTGAAATCAAGGATTTTACAAGGTGGTGGATATATTGTTTTTATTTGATAAACAAAATGCCTCAAAAGAGAACTAAAGAATTACAATACCTATCCCCCGGCTTCTCTACCATATAAAATTTTATGACAACTTAAAGTTCAACTCTATAAAGAAACGATATATTTACCATTATGAATAAAGTGCATTTAATGAGTTACATGTATCGGGTCCCGCTGGAGATATGGATATCTTTTTTTCTCAAAAAGAGCATTTGTTTCTATAATATTTTTCCCAATGGTATATACTTACTGAAACAAGTGTCCGTTATATTTAGCCAGGTACAGAAGTAAGATCTCGGTAATCTACCCCCCCCCCCCCCTTTTTCACGCACAATGTTCTTGTTTGATGCAGTGCACTTATTACCTTTGCAAATTATAAGCAGAACCTAATTTAATCAAATGAAATTATTTATGTACTAAATTAAAAAATGAATAAACCAATAAATAAAAAAAGAAAGGAAAAGAAAATCAATCCGTTTACAGAAAGCATACGCAATTTAATCATTTTTTTTTTTTCAAATCAATAACTGAGTTTATTTGTCAGTAATAAAAATGACTTTTTAATATCAAACTAGAATTGTAAAAACATTGAATGCTGTAAAAGATTATGAATTACAAATATATATTTTTTTCAGTGCGTAATTTAGAGTCTAATGAAAAAGGTTTGTACATAGACAAATTCACCGGGCGGGTCACATACTCGATGACAACTATTAATTAATTACAACTGAACATTGAGTATTTTTTTCTGTTAATATAGTACTGGTGTAGCGAGGTTTGATCTTAACTGAATCAGAATGATTGCAATTCTTAACTAATCTTTGATTAATCCGTAATAATTTAAATAAAGTCAGAGAGATTCCGAATAGAAAACCCAGATCGAGGCCAAAGCGTGCGAGAATCGTGTACAAAGCGTGTGAGAAACATGTACAAAGCGTTTCGTGCAGGCTTTCGTGTAAACCGTGCAGCCTTTCGTGCAAAGCGTTTCGTGTAAACCGTGTAGCGTTTCGTGCAAACCGTGTAGCGTTTCCTGTAAATCGTGCAGCGTTTCGTGCAAACCGTGTAGCGAGCGTGTACCGTTCGTGCAGCAAGCGTGTGGGGTAGTAGCACGTTTCAGGGTCTGTACATGCATACGATTAAATGTAACCCTTTATTTAATAAATTAATTTTACTTATTAACCATAGTAAAAAAAATAATAAAATAAACTTTACAGAGATAGAAAAACTAGAGACTACATTTATAAATAAACAGTTTAATTGTTTAACAATGGCTTTGACACGTCTCCAATTCTGCTGACCTCGCTAGAACAGTCAAGGTGTGTGCAGTCAAGCGTCACTAATCACCTAACGGCCCTGCAAGTTAACACTCTGTCAGAGCACAGGTGTTTCAATGTTTATTTAGCGTCTCCTTAATTGTCTACAGTCGATCAACACTGAATAAACACGGGGTGAAAAAAAAATTTGAACAGAATTTTTACATTGTAATACCGAGTCCCAGCATTTTAGGACATCGTAATAAACAGTTCTATTTTGTATAGATTTGTTAAGAAATGGTTTTGTGCTTTGAATTTACAACGTAATAAGCGTTCTATCTTATAAAACCGTCACCGTAATAACGAGTCCGCACTGTATTATTAGACAATTTAATTAAATCCACTAGAGTATATACATGTTTTAGAATCCTACCTTTGTCTATGAGTTCAGTAATAACGGTGGTCATGTTGATTTCATTAGAACCTGAACTCTTTTCTTCTTCATTTGTCTCCTCCTCTGCATCACTGTCTTCATCCTCAGATGTAGAAAGGGCAGATGACTCTGATGTGAAGAAAATGTATTATACATATATATTGATGCATATTATTTTCAACAAATTTAACTATTTACAAGAATAAAACATGATTATTCTGTACATTTTTTGATGTTAAACAAATAATTCATTTAAAAATCTACATGTAATTCCGAAATAATGTACAGAGATCTTTTATGAAAATCCCCCCCCCCCTTTATTTTACCATCACTGGAGTCCCTGTGTTTTGACCCCTCATCTCCACTCTCATCACTCCAATCATCAACAATAGGCATATCCTCTTCTCCAGCATCCCAGGGATTCTTGGGTTTTGATTTACGTTTCCTTCTTTTATACAGCTCCTTCCTGTCAGACACTAGTTCCTGAGACAACAGCTTCTCAATAACCTTGGCCTTGCTTCTTTTCTCTGTCATGTTGGATATTATGTTTTCTACTGGGTCTGAAAAATATAAATCAATAAAGTAAACCTTGTCTAATCTGGACACCACTGGTTCTATAGAAATCTACCCAGTAAGACAACATTTAAACATAAAACTCATGAAAAGGGACTCTGTTTTCATTGTAATAGGAAAGACTTTGGAATACACAACATCTGGATTAGACAAAATTTACTGTACTAATACACAGCACATCTAATCTTAAATTTCCTAATATTTATAAGGAAAGCTGCAGGAAAAGATGAACGCTCTTGAGAACATCTGTACCCTAACTGAGCAAGATCATTTTTTGAGAAACATTTAAAGCAAGGAGAAATACCATTGGTACCAAACCCCTGGACTCCAAACTTACCATCAGTGTCTTTGTATCTGTCAAATAAATTTCTCAGTTCAAATTCTTGTTCCTCGTTCCAACCCACTACTCTTTTTTGGCTGAAATTACAATGGAGACTTGGTATATTTGTACAGGCCATAAAAAATCCACGTACATGTACTTTAATTATTGGTGTGATCATTACAAATGCAATCAAAATGAGTGTTAAAAATCTACATAAAAAATTTAAACTTCCATTTGAAACTTTTACTTGCAGGACCCATGTAATAGTACAACCCTTGATTAATTAATGCATTTAGCTATTTAAAATACAATTAATGAAACTAAATTCAATTAAAATGTGGTCTTGTGATACAGAATAAATGTACATCTGCTTATTAGTCCCCTACCGGTGAAACCGGAGGGGACTATAGGTTTCCTCTGAGTCTGTCCGTCCGTCTGTCTGTCTGTCTGTCCGTCTGTCCCTCTGTCTGTCTGTCAGTCTGTCCCACTTGGTTTTCCGCACTTTTTTTCTAAACGCTTGCAGATATTAAGCTGATTTTTGGTATGTGAGTGTATCTTGATGAGTTACAGATCAAGTTTGTATTTCGTTACGCTTCATTGATTTTTGACGGAATTATGGCATTTTCAATTTTTAGCGGGAACCAGATTACACTTGCCGGTAGGGGACTAGTATTGCTAATGCAATACTCTCAGAATGCTTGTCTTTTTTGACATTTGAGGTCTTTAGGACTTTTCTTCAATCATTATTTCTGAATTTCAATTGCCTTTTTTTTTTTATTCCATATGCTCTCTATCAGCCTTTATTTCTGTATTCTAATCACCACACTATCTTTGATGGTGTAGGTCTTTGACTTTCTATTGGCCCTTGATTCTTGTATTCATCACTCACCCTGTCTGACGTTTGAGGTCTTTAGCACTCTCTATAAGTCCCTGTTTCTTCAGTTCCCTTATAATTTGACCTCTCGTTTTTGAATGGTCACTCATGTCCCTCATAATGTTGTCAAGTACATCTGTAGAATGTAAATACATATATATGTATCTCCAAGTTAAATTGCAAAACAGAATAATGTTCTAGTAATGTATTCTATTTTGATATCATTAATTGGCTTACCTTTAATAAATTTATATGGCATACTGTAGTATACAGGGAAATTTTTGCCTCCGTTTTATTTTTGCCCCTTTCTCCCTTCTCACAGGTGGGCGAATTTAAAACGGGGCATATTCAAAGAACACAGTATAATTTCTTAAACAGAACTGTGACGGGGCAAATTTAAAACGAGGCAAATTGTTTGCAAGTGTGAAAAATAAGACAGGTCGAAAATAACCCTGTATACAGTATTAATTGACTTATCCTTAATATATTTACATGGCATATTGCTTTTCCCTAAATCATCAAATTGACTGCAAATTTCATGTACATAAAAGCATAAATCTGAACATGTTCAAAACCTCTTCATCTCATACTAAATCCCCCCCCCCCCCCCCCCCCCAAGAAAAAAACTTTGTGATATCCTTGGATTTAAGATATCAAATTTAAAATACATATCCATGGTATTCAAGATATCTATTTTGGAAAAACTGAAGTTCAACTGTACATTTCATTTTCTGAATGAGTACGATACGGATTAGTCCATTCTTACCCCCTTCCTCTGCAGTGCTATGTTCTTCAAATAATCGTCGTAATTCAATTTCCTGATCTTCAGTCCAAACTTGCTTTACTTTTCTATGTAAGAACAGAGGTATTTATTAAAATTCAAACTCCAACTTTACTGTACTATAACACTCAGTCATGTCAATCAAGGTATCAAATGAACCACCTTGATACCATAGATACTCGCCTATAAGTCAGTTTTTTGGGATTTAAACTTTGGTCCAAAACTCTTTATCTGACTTATATGCGAGTTATAAAAAGATTGGTATTTTAGCTGGTCAGTCCCTCTAATTTAAGGTTTAAACTGACTTATAGGCCGATCAACTAATAGGCGAGTATATACGGTAATTCCAAGCCTTCAGAACTTTTTAAAAGAATGTGAGCTGCACATATCTCCATGATAACCTAATACTTTTGAAATTGTGATCTGATACCAATAGTTGTTTTGTGCTTAAGAAATTAAATGGCACATATAATGAGGTCCATAGGCCTTGATGGTCATCTGAGTATCAAGGTTACATGACCAACTCAACCCCATCTGGAACTGGAACTCTGAACTCATGTAACATGAATTTTACAATATGGTGGGAAATCTATCATATTCATGAAGCTTGTCTCATATACATATATGCTTAAGAGGAAAGAAGATTTTTAAAGATAAAATGCATTTTAGATATCAACTTATCCCCATCCCTGGGGCACATTTATTCTGTAGTCTTTGACTTCTTACCCCTGATAAGACCCATAACCATCCACAATCTCTGAGGCTTCCCTGTGTCCCTTCCAAAACAGCATTTCCATGAACACTTTCTTGTTTTTCTCAGCAACCTCAACAAAGCGTCTGATTACGAAGGTGGCAAACTTAGCTATTTCCTGCAACAGAGTTTGAAAATCCACATATTTTTTCTAGATTAAAATGAAATTTTGATATTTTTTGCAACAATCCTTTTATTTATTCAAAAATCCTAACATACTTTCAATGAACAGAAATTTAAAAAAAATTGGAAAAATCTCTAACAATCAATATGCCAAACATCACTGACAGATAATTAAAAAAAAAATTTTATGCTTTTACTTTTTGAAAAATCTTGAACAATCAAAATACTTTTGGCAAAATCTCTAATAGTTATTATTTCATACATTATGGATTGTTATTTTACAGAACTTACTTTGTATCTCTCTGTTTTAGCCAGGGGAGACAACAAGATTTTCTGAAACACTCTGAACAACGAGGCCTGGAACATCATTCCCACAAAGCCCAGGTCCACACTCAGTCGGTGAAGCATCTTAATGACGCAGTGGTTCGTGTGGACAGAGTTTTTCTGAAAGTCCGCCAGTAACAGGACATAAGATTTGAGGATTTCTGGTTTACCAAACCTAATGGAGAAAATATGGAAGATAACTAGAGGATTCACCATTTCAGGAAGCATGCTAAAACCTTTACCCCACTTCTGACGATTTTTTGATGAAATCCTGGCTTAGGATTGGTTAAAGTCTGTCACATGAAGGAAGTTTAATACTTTTACATAGTCACTTGAAAATTAATACACAGTAAATATGAAGTTATCATTCTTTTGCACGAAACATTCACAAAACAATACTGCGTAGCACAAAGTGACGTATTTTAAAACCAATTTAAAAAAGTTCTTTTTTCTGTTGTCTCTAAAGAGAATACTGGGATAAATCAAACTTACTTTGCAAGAAATTCTTTAAAGTTGAATTCCTGCTCAGAGCACTCTATAGCAGTCATTTCTTCTTCTTCAACTAAAAGATACAGTTAGAAAGGATTCAAAAATTGTTCTCTTATTCTTTGAAGCCATTTCTTCCACAAATTCATTCCTTTCTTTTAAACAATGCTCTCTCTCTCTCTATTATTACAATTTCCAAATGAGCATTAGGACAGAAAGTAGACGTTCAATTGGCTGACATTATTCACGCATCAAATACAACTTTGATCTTTAAGCAAGAATGGTGGTTTGATCACCAGATAGCTCAGATGGTAGAGCACCTGACTAGTGATTCAGGGGATCTGTGCTCAAATCCTGGTCTGGTACATTGCATTTTTTTTCCTTTCCTGTTACATTTAGTACTGTGCCATGCCCTGGAAGTAACAAGTGAAAGACCTGCCAGGGAAGAGCCTGGGTTGGTGTCTTCAGGGGCAAAAACCTTTGAGGAGGGAGGAATGTGGCGGTCAGGCAGGTTTGATCACCAGTGGCCAAATAGCTCAACTGGTTGAGCCCCTGACTAGTGATTCAGGGGGCCCAGGGTTAAATTCTGGTTTGATCTGTTGCATTTTTCTCCTTTCCTATTACACAAACAATGACCTTGGCCTCTCTCCAACTGCAAATTTTGCGATGGTTGGTTTTAAACAAAGTCTAATCCTTTTATTCCTCTTTAAAGAGGAAAGGAATTCAAGTTCAAAATTTAAGTCATGGTTTATAAACAAAATGAAAATTGCTATTTGGAAAAAAAAACCTCACCAATATAGAATTTATCTTGTTCAGTCATTAGATAAAAAAGTCCCACCCCTCTTAAGTTATCTTTAAACAAGAGGCTGATTGTGCTGTATGATAGGTGTACATGTGATACTTGCTGATAAATCCAAACTAGTGCTCACTTACAGTACACTATAATATGACTGCACTTAAAAAAGTTCCAAAAGAATTTATCATTAAAAAAAAGAGGCCCATGGGCCACAATGCTTACCTGAGTTACTTTAGCAATGCTGATCTTCAGAAAATTTTGAAAAGATTTTTACATTCCCTTGAAAAATTGTGACCCCGTATTATGGCCCCGCCCTAACTTTAAGGAGTCTCTGAATCCATACACCAAGAGAATGCTTACATCAATATGACTAACACAGCCTTTCCGTCATGGAGAAGAAAATTCTTTTCCTGTATACATGCATTGAGTAAAATTTGATCCTGATTTAAGTCAACTCTTTTCTGGGGTCCATAATTTAAAAAAAACAAGAGGCCCATGGGCCACATCGCTCACCTGAGTAACTTTGGCCATGCTGTTCTTTACCAGATTTCCCCCCTTCTAATACTTATTGTGGCCCCGCCCTACCCCTTGGGGTCATGATTTTAACAATTAAAAATCTACACTATCCCAGGATGCTTCCACATAATTTTCAGTTTTTCTGGCCCAGTTGTTCTTGAGAAGAAGATTTTTCTTACATATTTCAATGTAAAACTTGGATTCCCTATTGTGGCCCCGCCCTACCCCCAGGGGTCATGATTTTTACAATTTAGTATCTACACTACCCCAGGATGCTTCCACATAAGTTTCAGTTTTTCTGGCCCAGTGGTTCTTGAGAAGAAGATTTTTAAAGATTTTTCCTATATATTTCAATGTAAAACTTGGATTCCCTATTGTGGCCCCGCCCTACCCCCGGGGGTCATGATTTTTACAATTTAGAATCTACACTACCCCAGGATGCTTCCACATTAGTTTCAGCTTTTCTGGCCCAGTTGTTCTTGAAAAGAAGATTTTAAAAGATTTTTCCTATTTATTTCAATGTAAAACTTGGATTCCCTATTGTGGCCCCGCCCTATCCCCGGGGGGTCATGACTTGAATAATTTAGAATCTACACTACCCCAGGATACTTCCACATAAGTTTCAGCTTTTCTTGCCTAATGGTTCTTGAGAAGAAGATTTTTCAAGATTTTTCTTACATATTTCAATGTAAAACTTGGATTCCCTATTGTGGCCCCGCCCTACCCCGGGGTCATGATTTTTACAATTTAGCATCTACACTATCCCAGGATGCTTCCACATTAGTTTCAGCTTTTCTGGCCCAGTTGTTCTTGAAAAGAAGATTTTAAAAGATTTTTCCTATTTATTTCAATGTAAAACTTGGATTCCCTATTGTGGCCCCGCCCTATCCCCGGGGGGTCATGACTTGAATAATTTAGAATCTACACTACCCCAGGATACTTCCACATAAGTTTCAGCTTTTCTTGCCTAATGGTTCTTGAGAAGAAGATTTTTCAAGATTTTTCTTACATATTTCAATGTAAAACTTGGATTCCCTATTGTGGCCCCGCCCTACCCCGGGGTCATGATTTTTACAATTTAGCATCTACACTATCCCAGGATGCTTCCACATTAGTTTCAGCTTTTCTGGCCCAGTTGTTCTTGAAAAGAAGATTTTAAAAGATTTTTCCTATTTATTTCAATGTAAAACTTGGATTCCCTATTGTGGCCCCGCCCTATCCCCGGGGGGTCATGACTTGAATAATTTAGAATCTACACTACCCCAGGATACTTCCACATAAGTTTCAGCTTTTCTTGCCTAATGGTTCTTGAGAAGAAGATTTTTAAAGATTTTTCCTATATATTTCAATGTAAAACATGGATTCCCTATTGTGGCCCTGCCCTACCCCCGGGGGTCATGATTTTAACAATTTAAAATCTACACTATCCCAGGATGCTTCCATATAAGTTTCAGGTTTTTTGGCCCAGTGGTTCTTGAGAAGAAGATTTTTAAAGATTTTTCCTATATATTTCAATGTAAAACTTGGATTCCCTATTGTGGCCCCTCCCTACCCCCAGGGGTCATGATTTTAACAATTTAGAATCTACACTATCCCAGGATGCTTCCACATAAGTTTCAGGTTTTTTGGCCCAGTGGTTCTTGAGAAGAAGATTTTTAAAGATTTTTCCTATATATTTCAATGTAAAACATGGATTCCCTATTGTGGCCCCGCCCTACCCCCGGGGGTCATGATTTTAACAATTTAAAATCTACACTTTCCCAGGATGCTTCCACATAAGTTTCAGGTTTTTTGGCCCAGTGGTTCTTGAGAAGAAGATTTTTAAAGATTTTTTCTATATATTTCTATGTAAAACATTGATTCCACATTGTGGCCCCGCCCTACCCCCGGGGGTCATGATTTGAACAATTTAGAATCTACACTACCCCAGGATGCTTCCATATAAGTTTCAGCTTTACTGGCCCTGTGGTTCTTGAGAAGAAGATTTTTTAATGACCCCACCCTATTTTTGTCTTCTCTTGATTATCTCCCCTTATGAGGGGACTTGGCCCTTCATTTTAACAATTTAAATTCCCCTTCATCCAAGGATGCTTTGTACCAAGTTTGGTCAAAATTGGCCCAGTGGTTCTTGAGAAGAAGTCAAAAATGTGAAAAGTTTACAGACGGACGGACAGACAGACAGACAGACGGACAGACGGACGGACGGACGACGGACAAAATGTGATCAGAAAAGCTCACTTGAGCCTTCGGCTCAGGTGAGCTAAAAATTAAATTCACACAATTTGGGAATGTTTGTACATTAATGGTTCTATTGTGTTTCTTAAGATTTTAAAAAAATTCTTATATAGTTCCATGCAAAACTTTGATTCCCTATTGTGGACCCATTCTAACCGCGGGGGTCATGATCTAAAAAATTAAGAATCTACTTTTCCTCACGAAGCTTCCACATAAATTTCATCTTTTCTAGTCCAGTGGTTCTTGAAGATTTTTTTTATACATTTCTATGTGAAACTTTCATCTCCTATTGTGGACCCACCCTAACCCGGGGGTGGGGTTGGGGTTTTCATGATTTGAACAATTAAGAATCTACACTTCCTCAGGAAGCTTCTACATAATTTTTTCCTTTTCTGGCCCAATGGTTCTTGAGAAAAGGTTTTTTAACAGATTTTTCTTATATATTTTAATGTAAAACTTTCATCCCCTATTGAGGCCCCACCCTAATCCCAAGGGTCATGATTTGACTAATTTAGAATCTATGCTTTCACATTTTCTGGCTCGGTGGCTTCTAGAGAAGAAGATTTTTTTTTAATGACCCCACCCTATTTTTGTCTTTTTTTTTTATTATCTCCCCTTGGAAGTGGGCTGGGTCCTTCATTTAAACAATTTAGAATCCTTTACCCAAGTATGATTTGTGCCAATTTTGGTTAAAATTGGCCCAATGGTTCTTGGGGACAAGTCAAAAATGTGAAAAGTTTACAGGTGGATAGATGGACGACGGACAACAGGTGATCAGAAAAGCTCATTTGAGCCTTCAGTCCAGGTGAGCTAAAAAGCAAACTAAAGATTCTTCTGTTGACCTACTTTCATCCTCCTGTTGGTCTTCTTCCAGAAGCTCTGCAGATGGCTCTGGTGCTGGTCCTGAAATGCAAAGTTTAGAAACATTTAGACTCTGACTTTAATACAAACAGGCAACCATTAATAAAAGGTTAATACTTCAATTATGATAAATAAAATACTGTTAAATAAATCTGACCAATGTAATTGAATGATAAGGATACTGTAGAATTATCCTTGTTCATGAGGGACTAATGTTTCTGGGTCACCCTTGTCCACAAATTTAAATCCTCACAAACAATAATTTTGTTAACATACATGTATAATTGAATCTTCTGTATACAAGAGTTACCCACAAAATCATGTATCCACGAACCAGTAAAATTTTGGTTGCCTACAAACATTGACCCCTATGAATTGCAATGATTTTGCAGTATGCATGTTCTTAGATTATTAAATGGATAGCTTTATAATCTCAGCCAAATACACTAAATCTCTCATTCCAAACTAAAATGTAAGTACCCTCTATGTAAAAACCTTGCTAGCCTTGAATTTCAGATTTTCTAAATATTAAACATTGCACTTGTTAAGTTGTGCTAGAGAATTATTTATCTCATGCTATCACACTGAGTGAATTTTTGAGTATTGCTGTTCTGTTTTGGACTAATAAGATCTGTGATTCTTTATAGTTTCAGCTTTTATTGTCCATTCTTGACATGTCAGCTTTCAAGAAGAAAAAATAACAACTCAAAAAATTAAAATATACAAAAAAAAAAAAAAAATAAAGGTCTGGTAGTTCCTGTGAAAAAATTGCCTTCTACACCAATTAACCAAATAAAAGTTAAACAGACTTTATAGGAAAACAGGATGCTTTTGAGGTTTGATGGTTTGGTACTAAGTATAAAGTGTCTGCAGGAAACATTATAACAAGAAGTCACAGGCTTCATTAGTACAAGTCACGGTTACCAACAGGAAGGCAGCAACTTCTGTCATGAGAACACTGGTCAATTAAATGTTTACAGGCAATGCTAAATAGGTAAAGTATTAAAAAAAAAACCCCTTAAAATCAGCATGATCAGGTAGCTTCCCTTTCTATTAAGTGATGCATTGATAAAAAACTAGAAATAAGCCCATAGGACATGAATGCCCCACCATGGGTATATTAATAATGCAACATGAAAATTTGTATTAGTGTATGAAATTTGATGAGAATATCTTGAATAGTTTCTTTAAAATTGAAATCTAAAAAGTTGGATATAGATGATTAATTCTCACCAAATTATGTTTGAGTGCATAAGCTTACATAAATACATCTTAAATGGTTTCTTTAAAACTAAGCAAAGTGCAAATTTAAGAAAAGTGAGGTCAAGGTCACAGGAAAATTTAAGGTCAAACATCTCTGATGCAGTTGAATAGTTCTCACAAATTCGTGTCAGCATATTAAGTTTGATAAAATATTTTGAATGGAGTATTTAAAACTGAGCTAAACACTAATTTAAAATAAATGAAGTTAAGGTCAAAGGAAAGGTCAAGGTCAAAAAATGTTGATGCAGTTGAAAAGCTTACATCATTATGTATTAGCATATGAAGTTTGATAAAAATATTAGGAATGGTTTCTTTTAAGCTGAGTTAAACACAAATTGATAAAATTCAGGTCAAGGTGAAATGAAAGGTCAAGGTAAAAAATGTTGATGCAGTTGAATTGCTTACATCAGTATGTATCAGCACATGAAGTTTGACACTAAGTAAAGAAAAGTAAGGTCAAGGTCAAAGGAAAGGTCAAGATCAAAAAATGTTGATGCAGTTGAATAGCTCTCATCAGTATGTATCAGCATATGAAGTTTGATAATACTATCCTGAATGGTTTCTTTAAAACTAAGCTAAACACTAATTTAAGAAAAGTGAGGTCAAGGTCAAAGGAAAGATAAAAAATGTTGATGTAGTTGAATAGCTCTCATCAGTATGTATCAACATATGAAGTTTGATTACACTATCTTGAATGTTATCTTTAAAACTAAGCTAAACACTAATTTAGGAAAAGTGAGGTCAAGGTCAAAGGAAAGGTCAAGGTAAAAAAATGTTGAGCTCTCATCAATATCTATCAGCATATGAAGTTTGATGAAAATATCTTGGATAGTTTCTTTGAAACTGAGCTAAACGCAAAGTGCGACGGAAGGATGGAAGGACGGAAGACGGACATGACAAACACTATAATCACCGGCCATATTTATGGCGGGGCATAAAAATGACTAAAAGTAACAATACTGTACTGAAAAGTAAAACCTGGAACAAGAAAATTAAATGACCTGAGCACATTCCAAGTATTCAAATAATATTTTACTTATCCTGAAATATATGAACCAATTTCTTTCCCAGAAAAACAGTACATTTTGCTCTGAAAACTTTAATTTCCATTATCTTTTTCAAAATACCAATTCAGCAGATCTGGGCTATTCTCAAACTTCAAAATAATTAATTTACAATTTGTTTGTTTTAAAGTGACAGAGAAACTCGAAAAGACCAAACACTGCCATTACTTCTCCAACAATCATACAACTGAAACATGACAATCTGTTTCCTGAATGCAGCTAATACTTCAAAACTTTTGACACACTTATAGCTTTAATGAAGTAGCACTTTATGTAGAAGTACTTCTGTGACTTTCTTAGGCCATTAGGGTTAATTTAAGAATAGTTACTCAGTTTAAACACATTAAAAAATATGTTGATTTGTAGTAAGAAAATACACGTGCATTTAACACCCTCAGTGTTCATGACAACATGGCTGTGACAAAGCATTTGGTGGTTCTGGGACTTTTGTTCTTCTTTACAGATGGGAAAAAATGTCCAACAGACTGTTTTTGTTTTGAAGAAGAAATTGACTGTTCACAAAATCAACTGTTGGAGATTCCTGGGGAAATTCCGCAGAGTGCCCGAAGTCTTAAAATGAACTTTAACTTTGTTACTACTTTGGATGCTAAAATCACACAACCCCTAAGGAATTTACGTACACTGGATTTGCACAGTAATAAGATTCATGTCATCAAAGTGGGAACATTTGTGGGATGGAATTCCTTAGAAAAATTGGTAATTTCTAAAAATGTCCTCAAAAGCCTCAATAAAAAAACATTCTTTCAAATGAATAAATTGCGGACTCTGATTTTAAGTGACAATCTCATTGAAAAGATAGATGGTGCGATATCACATTTAACATCCCTGGAGATGCTAGATCTGTCTGGAAACAGGCTGACACAACTCACTGCTGAGTCATTTGTGAATTTACCAAAACTTAAGAATCTAATTCTAAAACAAAACGACATCATTTCTATTGCCAAGGAAACATTTACCTCTCTACCATCACTGGCAGTGCTTGACATTGGAAATAACCCACTCATCAGTATAGATGGACTTTTATCATCCAATTCCCAATTATCAAAGATTGATGTCAAGAATTGTCAGCTTGAAAACTTTCCAACTGGATTGCCGAGATCTGTCATTTTTATTGATGCCAGTGGAAACAACCTGACTCGCATTGATAAGGACGCAATGACCTCTGACCCTATGATTCTTACTCTGAAAGATAATATGATTACAGAAATAGAGGATGGGGCTTTCTCACGACTCCGCAGATTAAGTAAATTAGAGCTACAGAACAATAACCTAACAAGAATCCCAACAATACCTAAGTCAGTGCACCATCTAAATCTTCAAAATAACAACATTGATCACATGGATGCCACCTCATTTCCTGAGAATTCTACACTTGAAGAGTTATTCATTCATAGGAATCTAATTTCTAACATCACACAGAATGTTTTCCAGAATATCTGTAAACTTAAAAAGCTCAGTATAGGGGATAATCTCTTTCAAAACCTAAGTTATAGGTTGTTTTATAGAGTGCAAAACCTGACATATCTAAACATAGACAAAATACATATTGAAGAAATTTCTAACAATGTATTTGATAATTTAAACAACCTTCTAACATTGTCCATGTCAGGAATAACTAATTCAAAAACTTCAATTCGAGGAAATTTTCTTCAACCCCTTTCAAAAGTAGAAACACTAAATCTCAAGAATAGCCCTGGTTTGGCTAAGTTCTTGCTAGAGTCTGGTGAAATGCAGAGGAGTCTTCAATATGTATCCAACCTGAACCTTGCGGCAAACAACCTAACAACTCTTCCGCCCGGTATTATGCGATGTCTGCCTTTTTTGGATTACCTGAATATCTCTGACAACAAGTTCCACTGTGACCAAAGATTAGCCTGGCTTGGACAATGGATAAATATTGACTCCAGTAAGTTCACCGAACCAGATAGAATTGTCTGCTCCACCCCAAAACAACTCTATGGTCAAGCAATCGGCCAAATGAAAAACTCCGATTTTGTTCCAACAACAACCATCTCTCTTAGTGACACAAACAATGACAACACTGAAATTTTCTTTCCTACCGAGAAGCCACCAAATCAAGGCAGCAGATCGGATAAGCAGTCCCCGTCAGCTGCTTCCACTAACAACCAGTTCATCACTCTAACAGTATCAGTGTCCGTGTTTATAATTCTTGTAGCTGTGGGCTTCGTCATTTTTCTTGTCTGTCGACAATCTAGAGGCCTGGTCTACAACAGATCCACCATCATCAACCATCCACCCCCTGTGAACTTTTTCATCTCAAATGAGGAAAATGCCCCCGTTCCTCCCCCAGCTAAACTAACAAGACAGGATCGTAGTTCTGTCACCTCACAGACATCTCGAGACATCACCAGTGAAGATCAGGGAGTCAAAATCTATACATGGAGTGGTTAATTTATTCTCTATACATGACATGTTGTGTTTCAAATACTTATTGTATCAAATCACTGTCCCTGTGAATTAAATCTATCAAATGCTTTTGGAATGCTAATAATAAAATACTCTAAGATGATTCTAGGATTTCCAGAATCATCAACCTGTATAACCCTTTTTAATGTAAGTTAACTGAAATGTGTACTTTATAATCATCGGTTTATTCAAAAGACAAGAAGGATTTCTTTGACTTGAGTTTCAATTTTCCTGTATATGAGTTTGGATTGATCTAACAAATTTATTTGTAAATTATTCAATTGTATTTTTGACGTTAGATGCACATGTAGATGATATCATTAAGAATGCAGTGATGAAAAAATACATGTATATTGTGACATCACAAACACAAAATTAGTCTTTTATAACAATGTGGGTTGATATGGTTCTGTAAAAGCCAGTGTTCTTTCTAAACAATGTACTGAGAAATACAGTGAAACTTGTCTAATCTGGATGTTGTGTATTCCAAATTCTTTGTCCAATACAATGTAAACTTCAAGTCCCTTTTAAGTAAATTCAGTTGTTTAAAATGTTGTCTAATCCGGAATGTTGTCTAATACGGTCAATTTCTGTGGAACCAATGGTGTCCGGATTAGACAAGTTTCACTGTATATCAGTATATGTAATATGTCCATGTAAAACCACAAAAATCTTTTGTGTCCCTTTCTTAGCTCCAACTGGCACAATTTGCGCAACCTACATTCCATAGCTAGAGTACCATATAAGTGGAATTTTTAGCGAAATGTAAATTTAGTGATTTATCCCAAAAATTGGTATATACATTTTAAGCAAGAAGTAATTTTAGCTATTTTATAATGTCAATCAAGATAGCTTTAACAACTGATACAGTATAAATTGTTAGCGATATTCGATTTTAGCAATCTCAAAACCCTCACTAATGATGCCAAAATTGAATCCTCGCTAAAAATTCTGCTTATACAGTAGATATTGTTTAATTACAGTATCGTTCTTCAACAAAAGAATTGTGGTTTATATTTCTAGTTAAACTAGCTCCTTGAATTTATGATTTGAACAGATTTAAACTTAAGTCTACAATTTTGCTCACATTAATTTGACTAAGTGAAACCTTGCTGTTCTAAAAGTTACATTTTTGAAAGATTTTTGTTTTTCTGTGGAAAAACCTTATTGTGACCTCATCCTGTCCTAAAGAAATTTCAAATGAACAGAACTTAATCTAAGCTTTATAAGACTGATTACAATTAACAAATTGTAGCCTTAGGTCTCTTGACAAAAAGAGATTTTGAGCCCATATTCCAGTGTCTATCCTAGTCCAAAAGGCCATGATTTGAACAATCTTGCATACACACTACATGTAGAAGCTAATGTGCTAGTTCTTCTTGTGTTTAGACACAGATATTTAAATGACCTGACCCTATTTTTACTACATGTATTTATCATCTCTGTAGGAGGGGCCTTCATTTAAACAAACTTTAATTCCTTTTACCCAAAGATGCTTTATGACAAGTTTTCTTTAAAATTGACCGAGTTGTTCAATGTGAAAACTAACAAAAGATAGTTGAACCTCACACTATCTTTCCTTATTCCTAATTATTAGGGATGTGCGATTTTATCGGTATACCGGTATATCGTGATTTTTTTATTGCGTGATGCGTATCATGGTACGTAGACTAAAATACCGGTATTTAGGTACATAATTATAAATTTCAGGAATAATTCATTTATTGTTTAATCTTTCAAATTTCAATTACAGGAAGTGTAAAAAATGTTGCAAACGGTAAGAAAACCCGACATCATAGCATCCAAACATGCTTTATATTAAGTAAATAAAAAATGAAAAAAGTGAAGTTACCATATTTGGCTGAATATAATACGCATTGGTGTAAAATACGCACCCTCTTTTTTGGCTTGAAAATTTGGGAAAAAACGCAGTTCGGTTGTATTATACGCTGTCAGAAAATTGACCAAGCAGTAATGTTGTCTTTTTAACATCGCGGTAATTTTAACTTAAAATCTTTGTGGAAATAATGTATTGAAAATTTAAGCACGGTAACTTTTCACATTGACTTTGTTTTTTGAGCTTACGATACTTACGGTAAGCATGGTGGTATTATTCATAGAAATAATTAAATTTTGCATTATAAATAATTTTTTAAGCTAAAGGCAATGTTGTCTTTAAAAATCGTGGTATAATTTTATTAATTTTAACAAAGCACAAAATGTCATCCCATTAAATTTATATCAGGCTAAATATATAAATCTTGCATTTAAACATTGCCGTTTAAATCTTTGTGTGGTAATGATTTTATATAAGAAAGCATGAAATATTGCATTTTATTTTATTTTTAGCAAACGGCAGTCATGACATTACATGTTGTCTTTATCCTTGCAGAAATAATTTTATTTTAACAAAGCATGAAATACTGTTGAATTTTAGTTTGAACAGATCGACATGGTATAAACATGATAAATCATGTCTTTATACATTGAGGTAATCTTTGCAGATATCTTATTTTCTACAGAGCACGAGTAATTATAACACTTAAGTTTTAACAGACTTCATATTTACTTTTTAAACTCTTAATTAATTTAACAAGAGGCCGATAAATATAAGATAATTAAAGTAAAATTACTTTAACAGGTGTTTAACTGTTTAATGTGTTGTAATCAACATGATCAACACAAGTTCATACGAAAGATAATGTACGAAGGCTAAAAATTGACCGCCGAATTTTAACAAACAAAACAATCAAAGCCATTAATAAGTGCAGTAAATAATCAGTGATCTAACTGTAAAAACAATGCTTAGGAGTTGGTAGACAATTTATTTGCCTCGAGGGGTGTTGAGATCAAGTGACAAGTGCACGTGTACACAACATTGGCTTCGATTGGGACATATAGTATACAGTGGTATAGTGGGGTGTTTATGTTGAAATGAATTTTCACCGCATTATTTAAAACCCAAATAAATGTTGATTTATTGTATTTCATAATAAAATTGCTCAATTATATTTTTTTTTTTCAACCGAGTGTCTGATTAGGTACATGTGTACTATGATTATGCAAGCACGTGGCAAAGGAATGCGTGAAAGTCTATAAATAACATCATCATGGCGGCCTACATGGAGACGATGAATATCAATATGCAGCTCAAATTTATTGTAACTTGTTTTTAATATCATTTAACAACAGATTATCGTTATCAACAGATTATAAATACAACATTTTCAACAAGCCTATGTTCCAACAATAATTTTTCAAAGTGTTAAATACAGCGATAAACAACAAGAAACTGCCCATGTCTCTACGTAATACTATGATATGTCTGTATGATAGCCGCATTTCACCTGAAAGAAAAAACTATCAAAATCCTATTGTGGTGTAAAATACGCACCCCTTTCTCACAAAAACATTTTCTAGGAAAAAAGTGCGTATTATATTCAGCCAAATACGGTATATGTTTTTCCAGCATATTTCTATGAAAAATTAAGAAAATTCTTTCAAAATCATTGTAAAACTTGATTATACAAATATCATGATATCACTGTGATATTTTGGGAAAAAATCATGATATATCAAGATACGAAATTTTTAGTGATACCCTTCCCTACTTATTATCCCCCCTGAAGGGATGCAACCTTCATTGGAGCTATTAACTTTGATGAACCCAAAACATCTTTGTTTGCAATACAATATAAATATGTGACTGTATGTATTACATATATATCAAGGTTTCATGCTGCATTGTCCTCATACATAAGGGGAATGTACAGATCTTTGACTCTTACTAGGTAAGGTAGACATGAAGATTTCCCTCACTGCCATGAACTCCTCCTCTGGTCCAATGTCTGCTGCTCCGAACTGGTCTCTCTCTGGCCACACCTCTCTAAAAATTACCAAATAGTTAACTTATCAGATACTTAACATCAGCTGTTTACAAGTCACTAAACCATTAACTCATCAGATACTTAACATCAGCTGTTTACAAGTCACTAAACCATTAACTTATCAGATACTTAACATCAGCTGTTTACAAGTCACTAAACCATTAACTCATCAGATACTTAACATCAGCTGTTTACAAGTCACTAAACTGTTAACTCATCAGATACTTAACATCAGCTGTTTACAAGTCACTAAACCATTAACTCATCAGATACTTAACATCAGCTGTTTACAAGTCACTAAACCATTAACTTATCAGATACTTAACATCAGCTGTTTACAAGTCACTAAACCATTAACTCATCAAATACATGTACTTAACATCAGCTGTTTACAAGTCACTAAACCATTAACTTATCAGATACTTAACATCAGCTGTTTACAAGTCACTAAACCATTAACTCATCAGATACTTAACATCTCAGCTGTTAGCTTTTATAGTGATGTGTTCCTGATAATAAATTTTGGAAATGTCATGTGATATTTGTATTCTACTAGAGGTCTTTTTCAAATACATGTATCATACTAAGATTGAACCAGCTTTATATTAGTTTTCTGTTACCTTGCTGCCCTCAGTAGAGCAAGTGCTTCTCCAGGGAGTTTATCTCTCAATGCATCCTGAATACGAACCATGGCATCAACCCTGTTATATAGATTGCAAGATCAAGTATCATATATAATGTCAAGTTTACATGTGGTCAAATACTGCCCATATTATTTAGAAAAGTCTCAAGATCTGATGTCAAGAAAGGCTGAATTTGAAAAATATTTGAAGGAATATTGGGAACCACTTTGAACTTCAACCATTTAATTTAGTTCACAGTATAGTTTTGTCAATCCACAGTGTATAAAAATAGATATAATTTACCCTAAGAACAAGAAAAAATATATATCACAGGTAATATACATGATGCAAGTCTTTAATATCAAGCAGCTTGTATTGCTTGGATCAGCTCTATTATTTCCATACCTCTGTTGGTCAATATCCACTTCTGATGCAGCATCAAAAGGAGAGACATCAGCTGGCAGTTCTCCTCTTCCCTGAATCAAGGAAGATAACTCTCCAGAAATATCATCCCATTTGTCCTCCAGCTCTTCTGGAGTAGGCTCCCTTGGTAGGTCTGGGGCAGCTGGAAATAAATGGATAATTCTATTGTATGCAATGAACATGTGTACTAAGATCCCTATTTCAAATATGCATTTGAAATCCTTGGCAAAATAAAATTGGACAAATAAAGCAATGAATAATCATTTTTTTGCATTTCACTGTGCCATAAATCACATGAGGTGTACATTCAAATGGAATAACAGAGAATAGTATACAGTGAAGCCTCGTTAATCCAGAGGCCAATAATCTGGACAACATTTATTGAAAACAGAATATAATCAAAACAAGAGGCCCATGGGCCACAACGCTCACTTGAGTCAATATGGCCCTCTTGTTCTTCGTCAGCAGATTTTCCTCCTATATATTCATATGTAAAGTTTTGATCGCCTGTCACCAAACTTGAATCTATACTACTTGAGGATGTTTCCATATCAATATGACTCATCATGGCTTTGTTGTTCTTGAGAAGAAGATTTTTTAAAGATATTTCCTATACATGTTCTATTGTAAAACTTTGATCCCCCATTATGGCCCCACCCTACTACTGGAGGATGCCTTGAACAAACTTGAATCTACAATACCTGAATGCTTCCATATCAATATGACTAATCATGGCTTTCCTGTTCTTGAAAAGATTTTTAAAGATTTTTCCTATATATTCCTATGTAAAACTTTGATCCCCCATTGTGGCCTCACCCTACCCCTGGGGGTCATGATTTGAACAAACTTGAATCTACACTACCTGAGGATGATTCCATGTCAATATGACTAATTGTGGCTTTGTTGTTATTGAGAAGAAGATTTCTAAAGATTTTTCCTATATATTCCTATGTAAAACTTTGATCCCTCATTGTGGACCCACCCTACCCCCCGGGGTCATGATTTGAACAAACATGAATCTACACTACCTGAGGATAACTCCATATCAATATGACTAATTGTGGCTTTGTTGTTCTTGAGAAGAATATTTTTCAAGATTTTTCCTATATATTCCTATGTAAAACTTTGATCACCCATTCTGGCTCACCCTACCCCCGGGAGTCATGATTTGAACAAACTTGAATCTACACTACCTGAGGATGATTCCATATCAATATGACTAATTGTGGCTTTGTTGTTCTTGAGAAGTATTTTAAAGATTTTTCCTATATATTCCTATGTAAAACTTTGATCCCCCATTGTGGCCCCACCCTAACCCCGGGGGTCATGATTTGAACAGACTTTAATGTACACTACCTGAGGATGACTCCATATCAATATGACTAATTGTGGCTTTGTTGTTCTTGAGAAGAAGATTTTTCAAGATTTTACCTATATATTCCTATGTAAAACTTTGATCCCCATTCTGGCCCCACCCTATCCCTGGGAGTAATGATTTGAACAAACTTCAATCTACACTACCTGAGGATGATTCCATATCATCATGACTAATTGTGGCTTTGTTGTTATTGAGAAGAAGAATTTTAAAGATTTTTCCTACATTTTCCTATGTAAAACTTTGATCCCCCATTGTGGCCCCACCCTACCCCTGGGGGTCATGATTTGAACAAACTTGAATCTACACTATGTAATGAAGGTTTCACATAAGTTTCAACTTTTCTGGCCCAATGGTTCTTGAGAAGAAGATTTTTAAAAGATGACACCAAATTTTCACCAATTCTTAATGATCTCCCCTTGGAAGAGGGCATGGCCCTTCATTTGAACAAACTTGAACCCCCTTCACCCAAGGATGCTTTGTGGCAAGTTTGGTTGAAATTGGCCCAGTGGTTCTGGAGAAGAAGTTGAAAATGTGAAAAGTTTACAGACAGACGGACGGACAGACAGATAGACGGACTACAGACAAAATGTGATCAGAAAAGCTCACTTGAGCTTTCAGCTCAGGTGAGCTAAAAAGATAATTGTTTCCAATTACGGTAAGTTCCATTTCAGTAATCCAGGCGCTTCATTATTTTAGATTAATTGCTTGGGAACAGAAGTGTCTGGAAAAATAAGGCTTGACTACACATAAAACACAAAACAAGACAAGATGTATGCCTGATTTAGGACACAATGCAACACAAAAAAATGATTATTTAATGCTTATCAATCTACATTCCTAACACTGATACATGTACATTCTTTTATCACTTAATGCATGAAAGTTACACTTTTAAAATTAGTTTTAGTTTGACAATCTAGTTAGCATTGTGACATTACATGTTTTTAACCATGCTTTGTTTTAATACATCTTGTTTTACAGAACAAGCTAGAATTTCTCTCACTTCTTCAATAGTACCCTTCAACTATATAAATATACTATTCACCTCTTGGTTTTGATTTCTTTTTCCTTTTGTTTTTCTTCTTTTGAACAACAAGATGGGAATTTCCTTTTGTCATTTTTTCCAGCATCTTCAGAAAAAGATGGGTTGATTCCACTAGATCCTTCAGGTATGTTCTTTAAAGCAGATAAAAAGTTCATTTAATAATCTTCAAAAACTCAACAAAGACACAATTTAATTACTGTTTAATACAAGATATCAATCATATGAGAAATACTTGCAGAAAATCCACTACATGTGTGTATGCAATAATACTGATTCTATTGTGAGCTTTTCATGCTGACATATACATGTACCTTGATTGAGTGCTTTCATTAAACTTCCTCAATAACGTTAAGAAAGTATCTCGGAACTCCATCATGTAAAATATATTACCTGAAAAAAAAAACATTAAGTTTATAGCATACATGTAAACGTTTAAAAACAGTTCATAAGGATGAACAAAACCATTTCATGTTTACATAAAAAACTCTTTAATGACCTACTTTTAATGACCTTTGCACTCTCCATCAGCTGACTATTGCCTGACCTGTCCATGGAGTCCAAGGTCATAAGTAATTCCTGGTAAGCCTTCAGAGCAAGGTGTACCCTGCAAAAAGAGATTTTTAGAATTTTAAAATTAGAAGTGTTGATGAAATGAGAGTGCAGTGCCTGGGAAGGTCAAGCAACAAGTGGGGCCAATGGCCCCACTGTTCATAAAATGATGGGGCCATTTTGAAATTTAAGGGGCCGAGGGGAAATATATTGGGGCTATTCTAAAATAAATCATAGTATGATGCTATAGGATAATGCATATATCTCTGACAACAAAATTTAGGAAAATTAAAAAGAAAAATGCGATAGGAATTGACAAGTCATATAACATTGACTAGTGCAAATGATTTTTCCGTTCTAAGAACTTCAGTCAATCGTCATCTAGATTCTAACCAACTAGTATTTAGAAAAATTATATTTAAACCAAAAGCACCATTTTTTAACAATGCCAATTTAGAGATCACGGGACAGGCTAAAATAAGTGGACTTTGTTGAAAAGGTTTTTCATTGTAAGGTATATAAATTTTCCATGTGCGTGACTTTCGTAAAGCTGGGGTCAACCATCGAAAACGACTTGACACTTACGAATCGAACGACATGAAAAAAAAAAATGTTTCTTTGCCAGTTTTGCCGAATGATGGTTCCGATTTTATTATATAATACATCACAGATTCCATCTAACTTCGATGAAGAATACAGATAGCGCGGGCTGCGATGAACTTACAAAGTAATAAAACATGCATACCCGCATTTTGCGGGGCGCGCTGCATGGCGCTGCGCACCATTATTTCATTGCGCCATTTTTCGACAGTATGCGCATATGGCGCGGGCCCTTCCCAGGCCCTGAGAGTGCCCCCATGGGTGCATTTTTATGAGAAATTGGTTCACAGTGTAAATGCTTGATGGCAATGTCTGACCTTTTAGCCCAGGTTTTGGCCTCTTTCTTCTCCATCATAATCATCTCATAGTACTGGAATAGTTGTACCTGGATGTAGTGGAAGGTGGGCACAGACATGGTCTCACTGAAAAACACCAAAATCTACTTATCAGAACAACTCAACATAACTTAACATGGCTAAGTCTTTCTATGAAAGACAAATGGCATAACAATGACCCAAACCCATTACTCTCTCACATACAGATGTCCTCGCAGTTATGAAATGAAATGATCTTCATTTTAAAACATGTAAGAATTCTGACAAAAGCTGTCGCTAACCTAACAAGTTCCACCTGTTTGCTGTGTAGTCGGCAGAACTCCATGAAGAACCTCATGGACCATAAATAATAAGTCTCATCATGATCCTGGGCCTTCTCTCTGTTTAGAATATCCTTGACAGCGTACATCAGTGGATTATAACAACTCTCTAGAAACTGGACACAGAATTCCTTCAGACCCAATCGAATGCTCAGGGTTGATCGCCTCGTAACTTCCTGATCTTTGATTGGCTGACGATTTTTGGCTATCTTCTTAGGTTTCTTGTTGATGTCAAATGTAAGGTTAGAAACGTCTTTCTGGTTTTTGTGGAAGATGACATCCCTGTCGCTGATTGACTTCATATTCTGAACTACGTAAGTTCCCCCAAAACGAGAATGTCTGTAAGTAACAGACAAGAAGATAAAAAGTTTTCTCTTCATCTTTATAGGCTTTTTCAAATCAATTAAATTTTCATTTGCTTTTTTTTTTTGGGGGGGGGGAGGGGGGGGGGAATTGGGGTTTTTCAATTTTAATTAATTTTGGCGGAAAGGGGATAGTTTTCTGTCCAACTTTTAATTTTATACCTAGTGCTAAATTTCCTCATGTTGGCTCTCTTCTGGGCTTTTTCCTGCTCTAAAACCATCTGAAGCTCCCTGTAAGACACAGACTTACAACCTTGATGCATGTTATCAAAATAAACTAAAAAGATCTTTGGCAAAAGCTACCAAAATTGAAAAAAATATTCAATCAACTTATCAAATTAAAGATCTCTATTATGAGGATTTGGGAGTAAGATAAAATGTATAATACCTCTCATCCTTTTCTTTCTCTGTCATTGACCTGCTCACCCCTGCAGTTGCCAACATATCTGGAGTCTACAGTCAACAGAGTTTTAAAAAAATATTTCATGGTCATACATCAATTTAAATTGTTATAGAATATTAATCATATTAAATCTACAGAGAGCAGAACTTGTCTTGCTGCAGAATTGAATTACCTGTTCCCTGAACATGAGAGACACAATCTCCAAGACATGCATTGAGAAATTTCTTTCATCCTCTGAGCTGGCAATGTACAGAAGGAGATCTTCCAAACCACTGCGATGGATGGCCCTAAAATTTCCAGATAACAATCAGGAAATAGAAAATGATGTCATTCCTACAGAATGGTTTTCTGTCCATTCTTATAGAATGGTTTTCTGTCATGCTGTACATTTAAAACATTGACAGTAAAACTTCACTATTTGAAAATTAAGATGAATACTCTGGCAATAAAATAATTACTAGAGAGCTTTTTAAGTTTTAACTCAAGCAACCAGGAAACTGACAATCACTAAGCACCAAGCATTGTGTTTATATAAATAAATGCCACTCATGTGGACCATGTAACTTCAAAATTTTAAGGTGTCCTTATGAAACATACACCTAAATTTACATGTATTTGTTTAGTGAGTACAAAGTCTGTGGTTTAAAATACATTGTATATGTGTATTCATGAGAAATATCTTACTGTGGCCTGAATATGAAGAATTTGATGGAAGGTACTCAAGTTATTGTGTTACAGAGAGTGTTGACCATCAGACAGATGGATAATTCAACACAATTTTTAATGGACACCTGCCTTTGATGCAGAGCCCTAATATAATTACCAAATAATCTGATCATGGACACTGGCATCATCATCTGTCCTCTGTAAAAACAAAGAGAATACTGATAATATTTACACACCTACAAACACCTATATTGTATTTATTTAGATATACATGTAATGTGAAGCTGGTTCTGGTCAATTACATGTACCTCTTTGTACAGGTACACAGAGTATATTCTAATCTAAAAATATACTTATTCTGACATTTTTTCAATGTAGTAAAAGTTTTAATTAAAGACTATATCTGGAAACAAAATTCTATTCTATTTTTTGTGTGCAATGTGTGTTTGAAAGAAAATGGAAAGTTGTGAGACAGTAATATTGTGTTCAGACTACTAAGAGCCTGCTTTGTTCCAGCTTGAATGATTATGCTACTCTTCCCCCAAGTTCTGGTGACTCACTTGTTCACGCTCCATGTTCGGAGGAACATGGAGGACATTTCTAATGAGGATTAACATCCTCTCTATAAGCAATCTGTCCTCCTCTTGGCGATGTTCCCAGTCCTGAAAATAATCAGTCTACATAAGAAACAAATGAAAGAAAATGACGGACATTTTACAATGTTTGATACTTTTTTGTTTTGCTGAATTCATAACTTTATATAGGTGATGATTTATTATAAGAAATTCTTAATATCTTGTACAGTGAATAAATATCTGATTCTCAGTTAAACTGAAATGTACATTTCAAAAATTTTCAAACCTTTTGATTTATGTGAACCAGTGCTTAATGAGTTATCAAGATTTAGATATTACCAATTTTAAAAGATCTCCTAGTTTTCTTGTCAAAACTCCAAATAATTCTTCATCCACAAAAACCTTTTATTGGAAAAAAGACATTACATATTTTATAACTTCATTACAAGTCATGAAAAGTTAAATTGCTTTTTAACTGAAAAAATTCAAAAAGAAATGCAAGAACTCAGTTTCTCTGATGCTGCAATTTTAACTAGACCTCCTTGTAATCCTGAAGCATGGATTCAATCTCCAGGTAATGATTCCTCAGTGTCTTGTCTTCTGGGATATGGTTATTGAAGCACAAAACAGCTGGCTGGGTCAAGTTAACCAATAACCTTGAAAATCAATAAATTTTCCTAAAAACACATAACATTGATACTATGGAAACCTTCAAGTTATTTTACAATATAAGCATTGAATTTTACACAGTTTCAGTCTTTTTCTGGATTGTGTGATTTATAACAATCTCTCTCTTTTCTGGGAAAGGTTTTTCCTTGCTCAAACTGACTTGATCATTACTTTACCTGATGACAGCCTCAAACAGTACCCTGTCTGTGTGATACTGCTTCAATATAGGGACAATGTCCTTCTGTAGAATACAGCCTTCCCCCAGCTGTCTCCTTATGTTACATGTCTCATCTTCTCTTTTCAAGAAACGAATGAGATCTTTGATTGTCTCTGGAAAAAAATCAATGGAAACAACAGTAAGCTAGGCTATGAATAACCATTCTTAACCTAGTGAATTCAAAGTAGAAATCTGCAAATACATACATATGTAATAAGGCCTAAGGCCAAAAAAAAAATAGTCTTGTTTCCTGCTACCCGACCGACTCTATCTTTTGGACCCGACCCTAAAGTTTTTTTTAAGTTTTGGAAAAAAATAAATTTGAAAATTTCCAGAATTTGTCGTTCCATCATCGTAATCGGTTCCTGTGTTATTAATTCAAAACAAAATGGCAGCGGCCCCTGGGAGAGGTCAGTCTCATGTGCTGTCGGTTGTGTAAGAAAGGTGTCGCCACAAGGACAAGCATTTAATTATTACATCTTTTTCTAGCACCACCACTTTCAATGAAATATTCACTAGATATTGCGATACAAAAAACAAAGTTAACAAATGTTCTGTACTGGGAGAAACTATGATTATAATAAAAAATTATGTTTGTTTATGGTTACCCGGCCAACCCTATATTTAATCGCCGACCCAAATTTTTTTTTGTCGTAAACATCCAGAAGTCACTCACCGGTCAGTTTAAAACTTTTACATGCATCTTAATCGGTCAAGCATTTGAAATCGAAAGTACTAGCAATAGTCAGTGCAACATGGAATTAAAGAAGAAATACAAAACAGTTTTACCATTGTGTGGTAGCTGTAAGGCAGTTGACAAGAAAGATATTGTCTATCACTCATATGGCAAGCAAAAGTATAGCACCACACAATGGTAAAACTGTTTTGTATTTCAACCAATTCATGTGAATTTGTGTATAAAAAAAATTCAATAAAATAAAAAAAAAATCCTACCTACCGACCCCATTTTATTTTAGCATGTAACATTAAACAAACATATTTTTTTTGTTTGGCCTAATTACTCTAAAGTATATCCATACCTAAACAGTCTGGTTCCTTGACATACTTCTTCCCTTCCTGGTAACCAAGGGCACTACATGTGGCCTGTAACTCTACTAGCATCACCATTTTGCTGCAGCGTATATCTTTAAACACAATAAATGAGAAAGGTACAAGGATTTATTCAGGGACCTAGCTAGATATCTATATCAGCATGGTCAGTATACAGATCCCCGATTTAACGGGATGTTTTCAAAAATTGATAATTTGGCAGATCGTGTGTAGAAAATACTCAAGTTAGAATAAAACCTCAAAATATTACCTGAGTGTCAACAAAATATTTTCATTGCCATTGATCAGATGTTTCTAAAACGTAAACAAAAAATCGCGGGAAATAGATCACAAATCTGACTCACATCAAAGTTTCATATTTATGATACCGATCCCAATGTGGCAAATATAGCCTTAATACTCTGTATTAACTGGCTTTGTCTCGATATCAGGTACCTCAAAATGTGAGGTATAGCAAACATGAAAAGCAAAAATATGAGAACAACATCTCTCAACAAACTTTTGCGCTAATAAAAATTTCGATGAGAATCAGTTTATTTCATTCATATCGGGTATGTGTTTCAAATAATTAAAAACATTATTGATATCCGCGTCCATGAAATGCTTCATTCAGGAAGAGAAAAATGGCTGAATTGACTCAGCTTATGGATCAAGAGATCCCTGATGGACGACAGCATCTTCAAGATAGCTACAAAAATTTAGAAAAAGTAGCACAGTATTGTCGAGAAAATTATGTCCAGGTAAAACACTTAACATTTATGGTTTTGCTACACTGTGTCCTAGAGAGGAGAGGAAGCAATTTGTAACAAATCAGATCAGGATGTCTATCAAGCAGTTGTTTGTTAATTATGGCATCCTTATTGCTGAATTTTAAGAACTTCGAATTGTTACTCGCTATACTGTGGTTGTCATAATAAACTATCAGGTGTGTCTTTCACTAATTAACAATTTTGAATTTTCAATTGCCAAAATTGGCAATTGAAATTGTTAATTAGCGAAAGGAATGTCAGACACCTCGGCCCAACGACACCTCGGCCCAACGACATCTCGGCCCATTGACACCTCGGCCCCAACGGGTCGGCCCAAGATTTGAGACACCTCGGCTCACATAAAAGACACATCGGCACAAACAAAAATGTATTATTTTGAATATATTTATCCAATATATTCTGAAGTATTTAATGATAGGGACTATACGACGCTTATGCGACTGATTATATTATTATATATCCAAGAAGAGAGAAAGAAAAGAAATGAATAATCTTCCGAGAGTAAATTGACGGTAATTAAAAAAAAGATAATCCATTTTAAAGTGCTAATCGTTAAACAAACAAGAAGACGCGGTGCATCCTTTAGAGTTATATGGGGTGGTGACAATGAGGAGTTAATTACGAGCAGGATTAAAGCTCCAGATAATAAGCACCGCCTTCAGATTTACCTGGTCTGTGCACCCCCGTCAATCAAGTGAACTTAGGTCCATCACTGGGTGCTTAAATTTACATTTTTGATAGAAATACATATGTCAACAACTAATACAGATTTCGTTTTAAATTGTTTTAATCATATTTTAAATTTATAAATGCATGTATAGGGATTAGTTTAATGAAATATTAAAAAAAAAATGAAAATTAGTTAGTTTTTTATAGACCCTCAGAAAATTTTTAAGTGAAAATAAATGTTAGATTATATGCAGTTTTTATCATATCCTAACCAAAAAAAGAATTCTTAAGATCATGAAATGAATAAAGTTGCATTGTAATAAGCAACAAAATGAATAAATAAATAGACCTCCTACCTCCCACTCAATAGATACTCGCTGACGTACATCTATGCTGTCGTTCGTTCAAAAAATTTGAAAATATCTTCTCCTATTTATCGTGTACATATCGTCATTATATATACATACATTTATATTACCATAGTGAATACAGATTATATTTCTGAAAATAAAAAAAAATCCCTGGGCCGAGGTGTCTTCAGTATGGGCCGAGGTGTCAATAATTTTGGGCCGACCTGTCAGGGCCGAGGTGTCAAACGTGACGGGCCGAGGTGTCGTTGGGCCGAGTTGTCTGTCTACCAGCGAAAGACATGTGTAATGACAGCTGAAATGTAAACTTGTTTTCATTTTCATACCAAATACACCCAGTGAAAGTATCTAATATGTGCATTACACTTTTGCCGTGAGAGAACAAATATACAACATTATCACAATATGCTGATGTGTGACCATTGGGGCGAGCTACGTGGTCTTATTACTGTATACCTATTCACTTTTAGCTTGGTCCACTTCTTCGAACAGCATGAGACATTTGGAAGGTCTAGAGACAACACATGACATTGTGTGTTAAGTAGTTGCAATTCCATAATGAAGTCTGAAATGTAGAAATTAGCAAAGAACGTTTAATTTACTATATTTCTGAAACATCCTTTAAATCAAGATGAGTTTCTTTATTTTCAATGAACTTTCATTGTTACCGAAAGAACATACCTTGCCAGCAAGACACAATTTGCAAAGGATTGTGGGTCTTGAAGTTACTGCAGAAAAAAAATTATTTTGATCAATGTGCACATCCCTAATTGCACTTTGTGCCACTTGCTAATAAGTCTGAAGGTGAAACAATTAGGACAAGCACAATTTTTATGCCCCGCCATGAATATGGCCGGGGCATATAGTGTTTGTCATGTCCGTCTTCCGTCCTTCCGTCCTTCTGTCCTTCCGTCTGTCCTTCCGTCACACTTTGCGTTTAGCTCTGTTCAAAGCTCAGTTTCAAAGAAACTATCCAAGATATTTTTATCAAACTTCATATGCTGATAGATATTGATGAGGGCTATGCAACTGCATCAACATTTTTTGACCTTGACCTTTCCTTTGACCTTGACCTCACTTTTCTTAAATTAGTGTTTAGCTCAGTTTTAAAGAAACCATTCAAGATAGTGTAATCAAACTTCATATGTTGATACATACTGATGTAAGCTATTCAATTGCATCAACATTTTTTTGACCTTGACCTTTATTTTGACCTTGACCTCACTTTTCTTAAATTAATGTTTAGCTCTGTTTTAATGAAACCATTCAAGATATTTTTAACAAACTTCATATGCTGATACATACTGATGAGAGCTATTCAACTGCATCAATATTTTTTACCTTGACCTTTCCTTTGACCTTGACCTCACTTTTCTTAAATAAGTTTTTAGCTCAGTTTTAAAGATACCATTCAAGATAGTGTTATCAAACTTCATATGCTGATACATACTGATGAGAGCTATTCAACTGCATCAACATTTTTTGACCTTGACCTTTCCTTTGACCTTGACCTCACTTTTCTTAAATTAGTGTCAAACTTCATATGCTGATACATACTGATGAGAGCTATTCAACTGCATCAATATTTTTTGACCTTGACCTTTCCTTTGACCTTGACCTCACTTTTCTTAAATTAGTGTTTAGCTCAGTTTTAAAGAAACCATTCATAATATTTTCATCAAACTTCATATGCTAATACATACTGATGTAACCTTTTCAACTACATCAACATTTTCTGATCTTGACCTTTCCTTTGATCTTGACCTCACTTTTCTTAAATTAGTTTCTGAATCAAACGTCATATGCTGATACATACTGATGTAAGCTATTCAACTGCAGCAATATTTTTTGACCTTGACCTTTCCTTTGACCTTGACCTCACTTTTCTCAATTTGTGTTAAAATGTTGCATTACTAATATACCCTTGGCGGGGCATTCATGTCCTATGGACATATTTCTAGTCTTTTAATTTTTTAGTTAATTAATGCTATACCTCTCAAAAGGTGGATCCACCATTTCCTTTTGCATACTGCCAAGACTACAATCACAATTTTCAGTGATCTTCCATAGTCTGCAGTCATTGTATCTCATAGCAATTTTTTTCTTTACACAATTATGAGTTATAAAGAATTTATAGATAAAATTTTGTTACTTTAATGTCTCCCTATACGTCCCTGTACCTCTGAGCTTCACAGACAGTTCTTGGACATTTCCAACAAAATCAGAAAATTATAAAAGCCAAGACGTTTTAGTGATGAAAAAATGACAAATATAAAGGCATAAATTGAGAAGGTGTACCTTTGTTTTGTGACAGAAAGATTCTTTTTGTAAATATTTTGTCGTAAGTCATTCCTATGCTTAAGCTATCATTTTGCTATGCATGCAAAGAGGATTGGGAGTTTTAGATTTTTTCATTTGGGTGCATCAAAATTTCTTTGAAAGTGTTGAACAGTGTGTAGATTTCAACTGGAATTTCCTCCATTTGTACATGTATAAGCAAGTTTTCTGGGGAAGCAGCATATTTAGATACTTGTAAATCACTGTTTATTCACGAGAACTTTATTTGTGCATAATTATGTGAGACCATCTGGTTCGCCTTGTAAAAATTTCATTTCCGCCTATATTTTATTAATATCAAAATTATATACAATGATTACCTGTATTTGTGAAAATTTTGTCTAACTTGTACTATGTACATGATGTAAGGGTAGGGCAGAATTTATTGAGAATTCAAAATGTACATTTATTAGTTTGTAACTCCTTCCCCCTACAAGGGCTCAACATTAAGGCACGTCTGACCGACTCGGACTAGTAAAAGTTTGTTCTGGTCTAGTCTATTTTGTATCAAGGTAGCCCAAAAATTTAAGGAGGTTCAATCATGTGTGCTTTCTTGTTTCATCGATGTTAGATCAGGATGGCTTTGTTTTCTATAGTATACTATATATATGTATCGACAAAATTATTGGGAGTTGGGGGCACGTCCCAATTGTGAGACATTTATTTACGCTAGTAAAGTATACATACCAATATTTTGTCAATCTTCCTTTCTCATAAAGGCTTAACTCTACCCAGGGTTATCCTTCCTGCTAGATCATTTTCTTTAACAACTGTTAAGCATTACATTTTTTATTTAAATAGTGAGATGAAATATGATTCATACCCCTTTCTGATATTTTTTTTGATTTCAATAAAATGAATTTTTTTACACCACAAAGAAAAAAAAGACCAACTTATGATTACGATCAATTTATTGATGATGTCATTTGACTACTTTTTTTTTTCCTTGTCAATTTTTAAGTAATAATCAATTGAGTCATTCAGTGATCCACAGATATTAGGACAGGTCTATTGAAGTTGAGGTTAGGTCTAGTAAAATTTTCAGGTACTAATCCAACTGGTCTTGTTTGTTTTAAAGTTAATGTTTCCCTTTTGTCAGGCTTCAGACAAACGTTCTGCCTTGGAGGAGACCAAGAACTATACAACCCACTCCCTGGCCAGTGTGGCCTATCAGATCAACAGTCTGGCTACCAACTTCCTGAAGCTGCTGGACCTTCAACAAAACCAACTGGCTGAAATGGAGTCTGGAGTTAACTACCTAGCACAGGTTTGTCGTTATATGTTAGTTATTCATCAACTCTCAATACAGTCAGGGACAAGGACAATAATTTGTGTAGTATGATGGTTATTGATATACAGTGAAAGTTGTCTAATCCGGATGTTGTGTAATCTTGCCCAATACATTGTAAACTTTAAGTCCCATGCAGGAAATTCAGTTGTTTAAAATGTTTAATCTGGAATGTTGTCTAATCCGGCCAATTTCTTTGGAACCAGTAGTGTCCAGATAGATAAGTTTTACTGTAATTGATACATGTATTTTATAAGCCTTACAGAATGGCAATAGGTAGTATCTCATAAGGAATTGTTAAACTACAAGTACATGTTTTAGCTTTCCTAAAATTAATGAACCTGTATGCATTAGAATAGAAGAATATTTCCCAGTGACCTAGTAGTAATGAAGGTAATTAGTGACCTTGTCTGATTTTGAACAGACTGTGAACATTCACAAGGAAAAAGTAGCCAGGAGGGAAATAGGTGTCCTGACCACAAACAGGAGCTCTACCCGACCAGCTGGGGTCAAGAATGGCATCATCTTCCCAGAACAAGCAGAGAAACCCACAAAATACCAGCGTAAACCAATAGACTACTCTAGTCTAGATGACTTGGGTCATGGGGTCAGGGTAAGTGATCAATTAATCTCTGATATAAAATTCATATAATAAATATATATTCCTTTGTTTTATTGTCAAAAATGTGTTGATTTTGTAAAATAATTTTCTGGTAGCTTCTTAATATTTATGTTTTTCCTCTACTCCTTTTCTAACATGTCTGTTTCATAACAAAATATAAAGAAAATTGGTTATAAGTATTGTTTCCTTGTGTTAATCTACAATCTTTTTGTTTAGTTTGTAACAAATTCTGCCATAAAAAAATTCATTAGCTTCTAGTAACCAGCTTCCTTTATATCATTTGATCCATTGTTTTGCATGTATTTGCATGTTGTATTGTCATATCTCTTTCCAGGTACAAGAGCAGGGTTTGATAAAGGTATTTTATATTCTGTGTGTATCCCTTGTAGTAAGATTGATATCCAGATTACACTGTATTGCACAATATCAATTACTACAGTAAAGCACATTTATAATGAAGAAATTCTTTTAATATTTAAACATGTGTTGTCTATTAATGATAAAAATAACTAAACATTGTCTGGATACATGCATATGACTTTTTTCTGCTTTTTTTCTGGATATAAGGATTTTACATATTATCTGGATTTAAAGGACATGACATGGATTATGAAGCAATTTTGAACATCCTGTATAACTGTGTTTTCCTGTAGACACAAAATTCCCACAGAATTTAAGGTGGAATGCTACACCAAAATTTCATTTAACAGGTCCAGGAAAATCACTATATTTAGCTATATAGCTTAATTTACCTATATAGCTTAATTTACCTATATAGCTTTATTTACCTATATAATATAGCTTTATTTAGCTATTTTAGAATAAGTTGCTGTTTTATGAAAAGCAAACAAAAAGTCGCATGAAAATTATGGCTGATATTTTTTTAAAAAGGTTTGATAAAAACAACCTAGGGCATAGATAGTAAAAACATTGCCTCTTTTAAATACTTTTAAACCAAAAAATGTATCTCTATTGTTTGGATAGCTGTCCATTACTGGAAGTGTGATGAGGCATGACTAAGTGTAATTGCCTTGCATTGTGCTGAATTATTACCAATCAATTATCTTGTTGACCAAAACTGCTTTTCTTTGTTAAAGTAGCTGCTTATTCACAGATTAACTGTTATACATAGCCCCAAAACTTTTAGATCTTTGTTTGCAATTGCACAAAAGGAGAAACATTTTTAAAAGTGGGTTTTTGGTGAATTGTTTTCAGTCAATTTCAAAGTTGAAAACTAATACTGCCTCATTATGCGACTTTTTGTCTGCTTTTCATAAAACAGAAATTTACTCTGAAATAGCTAAATAAAGCTATATTATATAGGTAAATAAACCTATATAGGTAGACTTAGCTATATAGCTAAATATAGTGATTTTCCTAGACCTGTTTAATGGTTGTTCAAGACATTTCTTTTCAAATATGGTTTCAGCATGAAAAGTTTGATATTTACTCTCATTTATTCAATATGTATTTTTTTTTAGTATTTTTTCAAAGAAAATGTTAGAATTGTTTTATTTGCAAATAAGATGCTTTAAAGTTAAAAATTTGTTGTTAATGAATGCACAATATAAAATATCTAATAAAACATGTCTTAGAGATCCATTATAAAAAAAATTTGGTATAGCATTCCTCCTTAATGCTGCTGAAAATATTTGATAGAGCTGTTTTTTTATTTTTTATTATTTTTTTTTTTTTTTTTGTCTTTTGAGATGTTTTGCTTGGAGTTCAATTTCCATTTACATGCATTTAGTTAAAATAGTAACTTAATAAAAGAAATACTTTTTCCAGTGTTTCATGTATAGCTATAACATATATAATTTATATGTAACTTAGTTAAAATAGATCTGTAGTTTTTATTACCTTAACTTATACTGTAGAGTGGGTGGGATACTAGTTTTAACTTATTTTGAGAGCTGGAGCTGAATAAAGTATTTTCAGCAAATAAGAAAGTTTTAAGAATGTTTACTTTAATGACTAATGATTCCAGATTTATGACATTGTTAGTTCTACTATCAGAGACTGGAAGAGCTTATACAATGGTAAGGTGTCCATTGTCTGTCCATCTATCTGCCTGTTTGTCTGTGAACAATGACTCGATTTCAGTCAAATTTGGTACACAACTAGACTTCATTACAGTGTTTTCTCTAAGAACTTGCTACCAGCCAAATTTACCACTTCAATTGATAAAAATGCCGCTTAGAAATAAAAAAAATTACAAAATAATTGTTGTAAGGTCCACAAAGACTTTGTTCAAAAATCTCAACCCCTAGCCTGTTACAGTTGATCTCTAACCTTTTACTTTGACACTGCACTGAGATACATAATTCTTTTAATTCTGTTTTTTATTTTGACAAACAATAAAAGTGTACTCCTCCTGTATTTTAGTCCAATTTCAATAAGACCAAGAATACTGGTTGACCACACCTAGAAGGATGGGAATCACCAAAAATTTTCACAATACATGTATATCACGATAACATCTTGATGTTTTTACACAAAATTTTTACTATGTTTTTAAATGAATTTCCATAATTTTTCTAACAAATATATTGTAAAAACATAACTTCACTTCCCCCCCCCCCCATTTTTATTTATATAAAGCATGTTCTGATGCTAGTATGCTGTTGTTTTACTGTTTTCATAAATAGACTATATATAGGTTTCATGACTGTTACTAACTTGCACTGGTTATGGAACCTGTTTCTCCCTTTATACAAACATGGACTTGTGTGTTTTGGTGAAATAAACATGAGGCTGAAGAATGTGCCTATCCCGTTAGTATGTACGTCCCTGGTAATATACCTCGATCTGTTGAAATATACAAGGCAAAAGTTCAAAGATTAAAAATTTAATCATAGATGTTTACATGTACAAACATATACTGTACCTGCATTTTATGCCTTCATGGGCATGAACTTGGAGAATAGAGCCTGGAAAAGCAGCCAGTTAGAATCATCATTGGTATAAGCAACCAATCAGAATTGTCTTGGGTGTTTCATAATATGTTTTGAACCCCAAAAAAGAATAACTGCGTGAGAGTGATGAAACACAGTTGAAAATGGGAGAAAAGTGAATACATAATTCTATATATTGGTTATTGATTTTGATGAACGTTTTGTTGCCATGGTTACTGAAAATATAAATTTCTGTAAAATTCTTTTAAAAATATACTCCTACAATTTATTCAGATATCAGTATTGCTGATTTAAAGCTTGTGTTTCTTCTTTTTAGCTCACCTGAGCTGAAAGCTCAAGTGAGCTTTTCTGATCACCCGTTGTCCGTCGTCCGTCCGTCCGTCCGTCTGTCCGTCTGTAAACTTTTCATATTTTCAACTTCTTCTCAAGAACCACTGGGCCAATTTTAACCAAATTTGGTACAAAGCATCCTTGAGTGAAAGGGAGTTTAATTTGTTAAAATAAAGGGCCAAACCCCCTTACAAGGGGAGATAATCAAGAAAAGACAAAAATAGGGTGGGGTCATTAAAAAATCTTCTTCTCAAGAACCACTGGGCCAGAAAAGCTGAAACTTACGTGGAAACATTCTGGGGTAGTGTAGATTCTAAATTGTTAAAATCATGACCCCCGGGGCAAGGGCGGGGCCACAATAGGGAATCCAAGTTTTACATTGAAATATATAGAAAAAAATCTTTAAAAATCTTCTTCTCAAGAACCACTGGGCCAGAAAAGCTTAAACTTATGTGGAAGCATCCTGGGGTAGAGTAGATTCTAAATTGTAAAAATCATGACCCCCGGGGGAAGGGCGGGGCCACAATAAGGAGTCCAAGTTTTACATTGAAATATATAGAAAAAAATCTTTAAAAATCTTCTTCTCAAGAACCATTGGGCCAGAAAAGCTGAAACTTATGTTGAAGCATCCTTTGGTAGTGTAGATTCTAAATTGTTAAAATCATGACCCCCGGGGAAAGGGCGGGGCCACAATAGGGAATCCAAGTTTTACATTGAAATACATAGAAAAAATCTTTAAAAATCTTCTTCTCAAGAACCACTTAGCCAGACAAACTGAAACTTATGTGGAAGCATGCTGGGGTAGTGTAAATTCTAAATTGTTAAAATCATGACCCCTGGGGGAAGGGTGGGGCCACAATAGGGAATCCAAGTTTTACATTGAAATACATAGAAAAAATCTTTAAAAATCTTCTTCTCAAGAACCACTTAGCCAGACAAACTGAAACTTATGTGGAAGCATGCTGGGGTAGTGTAAATTCTAAATTTTAAAAATCATGACCCCTGGGGGAAGGGCGGGGCCACAATAGGGAATCCAAGTTTTACATTGAAATACATAGAAAAAATCTTTAAAAATCTTCTTCTCAAGAACCACTTAGCCAGACAAACTGAAACTTATGTGGAAGCATGCTGGGGTAGTGTAAATTCTAAATTGTTAAAATCATGACCCCTGGGGGAAGGGTGGGGCCACAATAGGGAATCCAAGTTTTACATTGAAATACATAGAAAAAATCTTTAAAAATCTTCTTCTCAAGAACCACTTAGCCAGACAAACTGAAACTTATGTGGAAGCATGCTGGGGTAGTGTAAATTCTAAATTTTAAAAATCATGACCCCTGGGGGAAGGGCAGGGCCACAATAGGGAATCCAAGTTTTACATTGAAATACATAGAAAAAATCTTTAAAAATCTTCTTCTCAAGAACCACTTAGCCAGACAAACTGAAACTTATGTGGAAGCATGCTGGGGTAGTGTAAATTCTAAATTGTTAAAATCATGACCCCGGGGGAAGGGTGGGGCCACAATAGGGAATCCAAGTTTTACATTGAAATATATAGAAAAAATCTTTAAAAATCTTCTTCTCAAGAACCATTGGGCCAGAAAAGCTGAAACTTATGTGGAAGCATCCTTTGGTAGTGTAGATTTTAAATTGTTAAAATCATGACCCCCAGGGAAAGGGCAGGGCCACAATAGGGAATCCAAGTTTTACATTGAAATACATAGAAAAAATCTTTAAAAATCTTCTTCTCAAGAACCACTTAGCCAGACAAACTGAAACTTATGTGGAAGCATGCTGGGGTAGTGTAAATTCTAAATTGTTAAAATCATGACCCCCGGGGAAGGGTGGGGCCACAATAGGGAATCCAAGTTTTACATTGAAATATATAGAAAAAAATCTTTAAAAATCTTCTTCTCAAGAACCATTGGGCCAGAAAAGCTGAAACTTATGTTGAAGCATCCTGGGGTAGTGTAGATTTTAAATTGTAAAAATCATGACCCCCGGGGGAAGGGCGGGGCCACAATAGGGAATCCAAGTTTTACATTGAAATATATAGAAAAAAAAATCTTCTCAAGAACCACTTGGTCAGAAAAGCTAAGACTTTTGTAGAAGCATCCTGGGGCAGTGTAAATTCTAAAGAATTCAAATCTTGACCCCTGGGTGTAGGGTGGAGCCACAATAGGGAATCCAAGTTTTACATTGAAATATATAGGAAAAATCTTCAAAAATTTTCTCTTCAAGAACCTCTTGGCCAGTAAAGCTGAAACTTATATGGAAACATCCTAGGGTAGTGTAGATTTTAAATTGTTAAAATCATGATCCCCGTGGGTAGGGCGGGGCCACAATAGGTATTACAAAAAGATCATCTGGTGAAGAGCAGCAGGGCCAAAGTTATTCAGGTGAGCATTGTGGCCCATGGGCCTCTTGTTTATCAGTGTCACCATAGATACAAAAAAACTTAATATATGAAAAATCTTTTAAAAATGCTACTTATCCAATAGTTTTGTTTTGATTACAGCAAAAGTTGATACATGTATAGAAAACATTAGGATACATCATTCTGTAAATGTTTCATAATAAAAATATATGTGTTTCAAGTTTAAATGGTACTTTTATATTTGGAAACCAGTAGAGCTACAGTCTCTCATCAGATACTACTGGTTATTCAATGGCTAACTTTGTGATATATCTTTTAAATTTGAATCAGTATCACAGATGCAAAAAAAAACACCCTTTGTACAGTATATTATTCTACAAGTGTAATCTGTGTGGTGGTGCTGTTACTAAATTCAATCAAAAAGAATTTACTATATCTTTTGGGGTATTTGATAAAAATAACATTTAAAACTGCACAAGTTACAATACTTTTTTTGCAGTTTGAAATGAATTAAAAGACAAGCCTTATGTAATAAGAATTATGTACTTTCATTTCAATGTATTTTTAATCTGCATTTCACAAGACAATCATTATAAGAAAAAAAAACTCATGAAATTAATTTTTTTTCAATAATCCTTTAATATTTTAAAATATTTTTGATATTATATAAAGTTCTTTAAATGTTTTAGTGGGACTGTTCATTCATTAGAAATGTAAACTATGGAATCTCACAATCTGCTTCCTGTTCATAGGGAAGTTCTAAACCAGCTCGCAGTCCATCTGTCAGCAGTGGATCATCCGGACAGGCCCCTACATCACATCCCCCCACCCCACCAATGAACCGTAGTGGTGGCACCCTGGGGAGGAGTTCTGGTAGCAGTCATTACAGGACCCCCGCCCCTCCAGTGGCCCCACCCTCAGTTCCATCACAGTATGCTTCCAGTAACTATACAGTACAGACAACAGGACTACCAGGTATTACAGAGAATGGGAATATCCCCAGTACAAAATTGTAACAGCATAATTCATGAATGGGAATATCCCCAGTAAAAATCAAATCATAATTCACTGATTTGTATATTGATTGCTAGAGTGTGTTATATAACCTTATATTTCCCATCTGGGATATTAGGAATGGTTTTTGTCATTGCTTTAAAGTGAGAGAATCCTGCCTAGATCAGGATAGTAGGCATGTATGAACCTTCAAAACTTGAATTAAGTAACTTAATTCTACCCTTTAGCATTGAAGATTAAAGAAAGTCACCCCTCTGAGCCATTACTTCTATCCAGTTGATTCATTTAATCAAGAGCATTCAAGTTTGGAAGGTTCATACTTTATGCATCTACTTTTTTATTCCTGTGAACAATTTTTAAGTTTTTCATAGGAATAAAAATGTAGATGCATAAAGTAATGTTCTCCTGATGCTAGGGTTAATGAACCCAATGCTTGAATTTCCATGTATACTGAACTTCCATTCATAGAATTTAGGATTGATTGACCTATCAACAAATTTTTAGAATGTAAAATAAAGACTACTGTTACATTGATAGGTCAATCCAGAGCTTCCCAAGCCAGGGGAAGTAACTACGGCCAGATGATTATTCCACCTAATGCACCAGCTCCTCCCCCACCAGTAGGAATGGCCACACCCATGTCACACCCAGGGGCCGGAATACCACAGGGTAGAAGATCACAGCTGAATTCGCAATCCTCCATTGGTAGGTTATACCATTATGTATATGCATATTGTTGTACTTCCACTATTTAAGCACTATTTCATCAGTAGTTTGAGTGTATAAAGAGAATGTGGTACTATTGATGGTTTTATGTAAACAAGATTCTTTTTAATGATAAGATACATGTATCTCTCATGCAAATATTTCATGTGATTGAAGACGAGCAGTTAAGTGTTTATCATTTACATTTATTAAGCTTCCATGATAATGATCTTTCTAAATGAACAGAAATTAAATTAATTAGATATAAATCAATTTTTAAGCATTTTGCTTCTTTCAGTTCATCATTTGTTTAATTATGTTGTTGTTAATTTTAAAATAAAGATTTACTTAATTGTCAGAGACTATTGATGATGAGGTATTAACTACAGATTTTATATTTCATGACAGGAAGATGTTTAATTTGAATTTCATAGTACACAGTAAACAGATACTTTTAAAAGGCTTTAAATATATTCATCATATACCAAGTAGTAAATACACCATTTCTGCACTATACGATGTGGTGCAATACCCCATATCAAGGACTGGTCTGAAAACCCATATGTTTCAGATCGGCATGCAAAAATGCATATCAAAGTAGAAAAAGTTGAAAAAATAATAAACTTGATTTATTGAAATATATATGAAGTACAATTTAAACATTTGTTGACTATTTAAGTTTTAAAATGGGTTCTATTTAATTTTAAAGAATGAGGTACAAGTATAAACGTAGACCAAACATTCCTTAAATAATGTCTGAGAAATGCCTTCAGCCATTAGGCTGCTATGACTTATGGATTTAAGTATGTAATATTTCTCTATGTATCATTCATACACCACACAGAATATTTATCAAACATTATCATATTAGATATTCAACTACCATCATATATCACTCAGAATATTTCCTATATTACATACAAGATATTTGCCACCCATATACATGTATGTGTATCACACAGGGAATACATGTATATCTAACATATCCTACACCACACAGGGATTGTATCTAGCATATCCTACACCACACAAGGATTGTATCTAGCATATCCTACACCACACAAGGATTGTATCTAGCATATCCTACACCACACATGGATTGTATCTACGATATCCTACACCACACAAGGATTGTATCTACCATATCCTACACCACACAGGGATTGTATCTACCATGTCCTACACCACACGTGGATTGTATCTACCATATCCTACACCACACAAGGATTGTATCTACCATATCCTACACCACACAAGGATTGTATCTACCATATCCTACACCACACAAGGACTGTATCTACCATATCCTACACCACACAAGGATTGTCTACCATATCCTACACCACACAGAGTATTTATGTACCATCTTATACCACACAGGGAATTTATCTAGCATCATACAACACACAGGGAATTTATCTAGCATCATACAGCACACAGTGAATTTATCTAGCATCATACAGCATACAGGGAATTTATCTAGCATTATACAGCACACAGGGAATTTACAAGTATCTTCCATTATATACCACATGGAATTTATTTACCACCATACACCACACAAGATACTGATCTGAATTAAAACACAGGACTAAGTAAAATCATAGTTATTGCTGCCAAGTCTTTTTAAACTTCTGTCAAGAACTTTTGAAAAAAAGTATTTCTTGAATTAAGTACCTATTCCTGATGAATGCTTTTGAAACCATGTAAAGTGTGTAAACAGCCATAATCAGATGAAGGAGCATGATGCAGAGCTTAGCATGAGTTGATGTTGTGGTCTAATTTCAGACAATTTACCTCCACCCCCTTCACCAGAGGTCAGCCTTGGAGGAGTAGTCCCCAATGAAATCCTGGAAGGTTTGCATGCTTTTTGCCGCCCTTTTTTCTCACAGCTTCTTGTACTATGGCACTGCTTTGGCTTGGTATGTAGCTTTGTGGTGGTTGATCACTCACACTGGTCTGTCTTACAAGTTCTTAACATATTTGTTGCAGAGTATCCTGTGATGCAGACTGTCTTTATAGTGAATAGGGAAATGGATTATAACTAATGATCAGATTTTTTTGTTGTAGAAAGCACCATTGTATTATTCATATAGATCTTGCATTCAGAAGACAGAAGAAATGAAAAGCTAAAAATGTTAGAAAAATAATGATACTAAAATAAAATCAACAATATCATTAGCAAGATTAGAATGTGTAGTTTTGAATAAATAGACCTGAATTTTTTTTTGGAAATTTTGACTAAAACTAAACATACTGTGAATGAAATTATTTGTATCCTGTCATAGCACACACTGTACTATATAGACATATAACAATTATGAAATATTATAATGGGTACTACTTTGTATAGTGACATGTTCAAATGAACATACAGTCAAATCTCGTTATCTTGAACTCTATAGGACCAAGATTAAACTTGAGACATCTGAGGATTCGAGATATTGAGAGTGAAAAACAAAGAAAAAGAGATTTGGACTGCCAACTCACTTTGACGTATCCCTGGTATTTAAGATATCAGTGTTTGAGATAACGAAGTTCAACTGTATAGTACATGTATATTCGCACAAGTATATTACTACACTCTTTTAATTGGGGTGAAACGGTTCACCGCGGTACCAATTGGTTTGATACATGGTGCAAAATCTCCATTTTCGATTCGGTTCATTTTTCGATCAGGATTGTTATTCAGTCAGGTTTGGTATAAGTAAAACACACTACTCAGCATAATTTAATTTTAAAAAAATAATTCTGTGAGGACTGATAGTATCTAAAATAATCTTTTACAGTCAATTCATTCTAATCAACTTCTATTTAATTTGCAAGTTGATTAAGTGACTGGATTCAGTGAAACAAAACATAAACAATGTTGAATTTGTTTCCTTATATCAAAATGTATCGTATCGAAAATAACCAAACGGAGACAAAATTATTCTATACGTATCGTATCGTGAAGGAGGCTTATCGTTTCACCCATATTTTTTAACTATGTGTAATACTAGTAGTTGAAATGTAGATCATGTAAGTAAAAGTAAGTTACACTGTTATTAATAAAATGATTTCATATATATTAAGTGTATGATTTTTTTTTTTTTTTAAAAATTCTAGTATTTAGAGGTACATATATAATGTTCTTATTATAAGGAAAGTCACATACTAAAGCTAGGTACTGTAGGATATCTGTGTGATACTTTTTTATAAAGCTGTTCTTTTCTATGTTTTGTATTGTTTTACAGTGTTTATTGCTTCCAATTTTTTACTATTGAATTCTGTATTATCATTCATCCAATTTACAAATTAAGAAAGAATGCATTCTTTAAGTATATGACGAAGTATACTAGTTTATTTATATTTTCTCCATGTACCCAATACATGTATTTTTATTATCTTGTTTTTCAAAGTAATGGCCAAATAATTTCTACAATTATAATATAACTTGTAAATATACTACATTTGTAGTATTCAATTCTGATTTTTTTTTTTTAAAAAGTCTATCTGAAAATTAAAAAATTTCCATTGAAATACTTAAGGGGCATTCAAATTGTACAAAATATTAACAGTGAAAAAAATATTTTAATCATATTTCACAGTGTTGCTACTTAAGGCTAATGTCTTTTTGGGAAGCTAGTCTGCACTTCATTCTAATAAGCACATGTTTCTTCCTTAATGACCAGTTTACATATCATTGGGTTTTTGTCTGGGATTTTTAATCATAATTTTTAACTGACAGACATGGTATAGGTTTGAAATATATTCTAACAAGTTAAATGAATATTTTAGGACTTACAGTTTTGTGTAATCGTGTAGCTCTCTGGTATTTAAGGTTTATTTTCTATTTTTTTTTTTTTTTTTTTTTTTTGAAAAAATTTTGTATTACAAAACTTGGACCAAAAAATGATAAATTTTTAAAAAAAAAATTGATAAGTTTTAGTAGCATACTAATTTGAAGAGACCACCCCCCACCACCAAAAAAAAAATCCCTCACAGAAATTTTCTGGATTGCAAACAAAAGTTTCTCTGTTGTTTTCAGCACAGACTTATTCAGAAAATAAGAGATTTTTAAATGAAAATTTTCAGCTTCCCCACCCTTGCCTCCACCACCACAGGACAACCAACAGTACCCACCTCCCCCACCCCCAGAGTTTATGGGAGAGCAAGTTGACATTGGGTACCGTCAAGAGGAGGACCCTTATGCTGCAACAGGTCCAAACTTTGCCCAGCCTGACTGGGTACCAGAGCATTACATAGAGAAAGGTAGGTTATGTAGACAAATTGAGGTAGACAGAAATTATACTTAGAATTGTCCTTATTTTCTTGAGGTCTTTCTTTTACCCAGAAGAGATGCCCAAGGTTGGATATTCAGCATCGCTATAATAAAATAATTTACATCTAGATATATATTTATTTTTACAAATGGAAAGTGCTTTAATGAAGAAGGAATAAGGATTAAACAGTAACAACACATTGATCTATAGTAATATGAACTAGTGTTTGCTGTATACATGTATTGATATATTTAAAGTCACTCCTGTTCATTTTATAAACAATGGACCAACATTCTGTACTGCTGTTGCTGTCTGTCTTCATATTTTGGAAATATATACATTTGTTATACCTTTAAAAATTTGTTCCTATATAAATCAATACTAAAAAAAAGTCCAACATTTCTAATGTTTTACTGAGCTGGCATAAAAAAATCGATGTTTGACCGCAGAGTGAGATATTGGACCTGTCGATGAGATGTTGGACCGTTTATGTCACATAATGGGCGGGTCAGCTAAATCTCATTTGCATTCGTTGGTGTTCGACATACATGTATGTCAAAAAAATAATAATGATAAAATAAATAAATAAAAGGTATAACAAAACATTTATTGACTGGGTTCGAGGGCAACATGCGTTTTGTCGACCCTTCGAACCAAATTGTTTGCCTTCGGCCTAACGGCCTCAGGCTAACAGTTTGGTTCTTGGGTCCGACAAAACGTATGTTGCCCTCGAACCCAGTCAATAAATGTATATTGTTACTATATGTATTAAATTAAATTAATGGGAGGAGGGGGTGGGGGAAATAAAAGAGAGTTTACAACATTTTTTTTTTTTTAATTTGCATTGATTATCAATTCAAAGCATGAAAAACATTTTAGAATGCAAAAATGTTTGACTAATGAAGAGAGTGGAAAGTATGATTTGTTCTCTGTTTTACATGTATAACTTTCCCTTCAACACTACAAAATATCTTAGCTCTTAATCCAATCAAATTAAAAAGTGTCCTGTAGGAGTTACAGAAAGGTCCTACCAGTGTTCCAAGGAATTCATTTGTTGCATACAACAGCAAAATATAGCATATTATTGTTTCAATCATAAAATCTATCTTGCATGTAGCTGTAAAAAAAGGTCAAAATTTGATTTTCTTTTTTTTTTTTTACCTTTATCTCAATTCTACATGAAATATAAAGTCAAGTTTGAAACATATCCTCAACATTAACCAGTCACATTGTGTAATTTTATCACAAAATCACAAACTAGTGAGAGGTTAAGTAAAATTAAACATTTCATTTTGTCAAAGGACTACCAGCCAGCCCAGTTTTAGACATGAGAGTATGCAAATAAAATGACCAATTGTTTGCAATTTTTTCTTCTGTTTTCAGTGATTGCTATTTATGACTATCAGGCTGAAAAAGAAGATGAACTGACATTCTGTGAGAATTCATTGATTTATGTCACAAAGAAGAATGACGATGGATGGTATGAAGGGGTAATGAATGGGGTCACAGGACTATTCCCTGGTAATTATGTGGAACCTTGCATGTGATTGGACATTTTGGATGTAGACATGGCCATAGACTCAAATTTTTGTTCCAATCATGCAAAATTAGCCAAGCTATTTATGAATTTATTATATCCAATCAAACAATATTTCTGTTTTCAAAAGTGCTGAACATCAAAAAGTTATAAATACAAGCTTTTTTAAAGTCATCTACAAAAATGTACATTGTATTTGAATAATTGTATTTTGTAATTGGCATTTATTCTCATCTTAATCCTGATTATTATTGTCATATTGAAGATGATTTTATATGTATTGTATTTTCAATATTTTTTGTGGAAACTAAAATTTTGTTTCAATTTGCATAAATGGCCTTGCAAGCTTTGTAGAATATTTTCAGTTTTTACTTAATTTTAAATGTAACCAACAATTTACATTATGACATTTTCCAATAGATTGTATGAAGTAAGCAATATTGTATTTACTGATAAACCGATTTTTACTCGAAAATAATAAAAATATGTACCTCTAATTTATATATTTTTTTAGGCCACCTTTCACCTGAGTCAGTCAGGTGATCTTAATAAAATCATTCATTACATACTCATGTGAGATAGTGAAATTCCACCTCGGGGACAAGACTCACGGTCTAGGAGGAGGCTTTGCCGAGTCCTAGACAGTGAATCTTGGCCCCGAGGTGGAATTTCACTATCCCACACGAGTATGTAATGAATGATTATTTTTCTCGCATTATTTTATCTAAAATAACTGCATGCCATCACCATTAAAAAAATTATATTTTTAATTTAGCATCCAGTGGAAAATCTGAATACACCATCAAAGAAATTGTACCTGAAAATGGTTTATACATTTATGTGTAAACTCAGAAAATAAATTTCAGTCCACTTCAATCATTCTGAAAAATACAAACTGGATTTTAAAAAAAACGATAGCATAACATTTTAGAAGAATCCTTCCATGACCTACAAATAGTGCCATTTAGAAAGTTTGTCGTTTGTAGGTGGTAAACTTGAAAACATATTCAGCTTCTTCTCATGAACCACTGAATAAATTTTAATCTTTTTCTTATATAGCATTTATTGGAACATGAATTGTGAAATTCATGATCTCTGCATCCCTGGGGTGTGAGGACAAAACCATCAAACTTAATTTAGTCTTCAAAAATCTTTTTTAAGAGCAGGTCTATTCCCAAGTGAGTATTAGCTTGCTGGTGACTAATCTTGGATGAATGATATACATTTACTTGAATAAATGTTGCATCTAGGGATGCACACTACCAGAACGTTTGGTATGAGACTTTGCCTTATTTAAAGAAAACATTTCTTGAGATAAGTTTTGTAATCTTTCAAATTTAAGCCAAGTTATAGGTCACCTGAGTCACTCCGGTGACTTATTTGCAATCTGTTTTCATGGGTTGTAAACTTTTGAACATTTTCTGCTTCTTCTCATCAATTGCTGAACCAATTTCAACAGATTTTGGTATATGGACATAGGGGTACAAAAATTTTGCATTTTATTGTCTCTGCCCCCCTGGGGCCTGAGGGGTGGGATCAAAACCATCACAATTAGTGCATTTTTCAAAAATCTTCTCCTCTAATCCAGGAAATCAAGAAGTCAAAGTGTTGGCATGATTATAACATACAATGAGTCCTCTACCTAAATTTTGAAATCCATGGCTCCAGGGGTTCTGCAGTTAGGGTGGGGTTCAATTGATCATATAGTGAAATTGCTTAAATTCTTTAAAAAGCTTTTTCTATATTAAGCAAAGAATCTATTAAGTGTATGGTAATGATGAACAAAGATGCATCATCCAAAATTATGAAATTCATAGCCCCTAGGTCAGGCTGTGTAGGGTGGGGCTTTATTGATTATACAGTGAAAATGCATTATTTCTTTAAAAATATTCTTTGCTCCTGGGTATTTGGCAGAGATACTAAGTGCATGATTATGATGAACAAGGGTGCCTTTTCAAAATTTGTGAATTTCATGGCCCCTGGGTTAGGGGTTCTCATGTTAGGGTGGAACTCTTTTAATTGGTTATATAGTGAAAATGCATTTTTCTTTGAAAATCTTTTTTCATGCACTTGGCTATTTAGAAAACATACTAAGTACATGGTTATAATGAACAAGGGTGCTTTTTCCAAAATTGGGAATTTCACAGCCCCTGGGTTAGGATCTCAGGTGTTAGGGTGGGGCTTTATTGATTATTGCTAGTGTTAGTCTTTTTTTACTGGTCAAATTCATGGTAGAGCATTCTTGGAATAGATAACCTGTACCATGTCAGTTTGGTTTAATGGCAAGACTGTAGAGATCAGTTATTTCTAAAATTATAATAAAAACTGGCCTTCTTAGTCTTGTTCAACTGATGCTCGGTCTTCTCTGTGAATTGCCAACAAGCTGCTCGTCAGAGATTTATGGAGACAGTCTAGGGTCTGGTAGAACGACTACACTGTACTACCTTCCCGGATCTTTCCACCAAGTTTCTGGAAAGAGGGTTACAGAGGAGGGTACTGAGCCAGAATTTTTTTTAAATGGGCAGTTTTGGTAGTTTCTGGTGAATCCTTGAAGTCATTCATAAAGAAATTAAATTAACAAAATCTAGCAGCATTGCCTTCAACAGATAAGAAAATCAAATGAATTATTTTGTTTCAAACATGATTATTTTTCCTTCAAGTTTTTGTTTTTAAAGGGGTGCCATTGCACCAAATGCATCCCCGTTTAGACACCCTTAAAATATTGTGTTCAGAATCATCAGATCACTTTCCACACACTTAAGGGATTCAATTTGTGGGGGCTCATCCATTTGCAAATGAGATAATCAAGAAATAAAACATATTTGTTATAATCAAAACATGGAAAGGGAAAGGGGCAAGTTCTCTGGAAAATGATCTAGAGCCAATACAAAAAAAGCAAACTCATTTTTCTTTTATGAAAGGTAATATTTTAATTCAAAAACATGCAAAATACTATATACAAGTACTAAAATACACATAGTGTATACTTTGGCAATCTTATTGTCACAGGGTTTTCTCAATAAAATTGATATAATCTTGACTGTACAACAGTGAAAAAAAATAAATAAAAAAAATAACCGATCTCTGTTAATGGAATAAAAATATATCCAGTCTATCTGTATTTATATTTACTCTGAATTTTGGGAGACAACAAAATGCATTGAAAATAAATGCTTTAAATAAATGAGCAATTCAGGCTTGGAAAACTATATCCAACCCATTCATAATCAAAACAATAAACATATCTATAGAAGCAAACCAAACTTTAAAAAAAAAAAAGAATCAAGAATTTTGAAGATAGAATTCAATGTGGAAAGAAATTGTTCCAGTGAATCAAAATAATAATACATACAAAATTAAAATTCCAAGTTCTTGAAATGCACCATCAGATCTTCATCAATGTTTTAACAGTGTAACCAAAAAAAAAAGTTATGGTGGTTCAAGCCAAAGAAAGGCAAAAAAAAACTTTGCCAAATAAAAAAAACCCATCTACAGTGCATGCAGCAGATGTGTTCTATATAACAACGCCTATATACATGCAGTCAAACACACAGGGCTCCAGAATAAGGAGTGTGAGCAAGTCTGATATGCTGTGTGCCCCACCCCCCTTCTCCCAAGGGAAGCACTTATTACATAGCAGGGCATGCCTATCACACTAAGTACAGTCAAAGACATGATCACATAAAGGTGATGTAATTTGTTTGTAGTGGTGGTAGTGTTGCAAAATTCCACACAGTGGTACTGAGATGCGTGTGAAGGTCATTCTCTGACAATTAGTGCTCATGCAGACATATCCTACAACAAAAAGGAACAAATGATAGCATTTACCTATAACAAGTACATGTATGTCATAATAAATACCAGACTGTGCATATTGAGAAAATGAACAACCGGAGAACAATAGCCAAGCCAATTTTTGTCTCTTTTGATTTATAAAGTTGTTACTGTGATTGTAAACCGAAACTGATGCCTCGTAAAAAATAGGAATTGCATGCGCGGATCTGGGGGGGGGGGGGTCCGGACCCCCCCCCCTTGAACTTTGCAGAGTTACTAAAAGTATATATTGAAGCAAATAAAAAATGACTTTGGACCCCTTCCCCCCCCCCCCCCCCGAAAACGAGGACCCCACCAACACCACCACGAAATACTAGTAGGTGTTTTTCACGTTTTGGAAATGGATTTTACGTTTTTTTTGTTTGTTTTTTTTTTTTTGGCTTGTCAAGAAATAATATGGATAGGGAAAGGAATTTAGGGTTGGTTATTATTATTATTATTATTATTTTTTTTTTTTTTGCCTGTCAAGAAATTTTTGGGTTGGAAATTTTTTTGAGTGGGGTGCCCCCCCCCCCCCCCCCCCCCCCGGAGAAAAATCCTGGATCCGGTTCTCTATTTTTTTTTTTCATATACAACTGTACATGTACAAGACATTTCTGTCAAATCGCATAAAAAATTAATTTTTCAGATAACCCAGCTTATGGTTTTTTTTTTCTGAATCGAAATGGATTTAAACTTTTAAAGCTGATGGAAAAGAATAAAAACGAAAAGAAAGAAAATATGAACTCCCTGTGACCTTTTGGTGTTATTGCTAAAACACAGTTTTATTTCTGATAGACATGTATACATAATCAAAGGCATGCATCATTGTGAACTATGGTATTGTTCTGAGCGTCGCCCATAAAATGGCCAAAATAGACCCTTAATAATCTCCGTTTCCCTTTAAAAAATGTTTCGATAGCTAGCAAATGTACTTGTACCGTATACATGTAAATTATTCTATCTGATCATCTATTTCTTTGTTAAATACTCTTTCGAAAGACAGAAAACGCATCTTCCTTTAAGTATCAGAAACATGATTTATCGTTGGTTCAACTCACCAAGATCAGCCTCCTCCTTAGTAAACGCAAAAGGACAAGTTCAGGTCTTGTTTCCTAGACACTTTTGGACGCCTCTGCTCTGGTAGGCTACGGCGCATGGATCTGTGCTTAAAATTGACTCTAGCCAACCACTCAATCTGTAGAAAATAATCATACAATTAATTGTGATCACAACAGAACTGCAAGAGGAAATGGCGTTTAAAGTTTGATTTTTTTTTGGGGGGGGGGGTACTTTCTTAAACTTGATATGGTTTGAACACTGCATGCATTAGAATGAATGGGACACTTACCTGATGTGTAGGTTGAGGTATGGTAGGTAACTCCCTACGCTCCTCAGACTTGTTGATGGCATGGGTCAATTCACACTGATAAAAAAAAAAATGAAAAATTCTTATCAAACGTATCATTTATTCAACCAACCGATAAAAAGGTTTTGAACATTAACACAAACATAACTGCACTTTGATGTGTATATCAAATATCCCTTCTCAGACTCTTACCCAATCTCGAATATGATCTTTCCATTCGTGAACAGCAGAAGTAAAGACTTGCTTGCACTGGAGAAAAATCAAAATTATAGAATCTATTTACGAGAGAGAGAGAGAGGGGAGGGAAGGCAAAGAGAGAGAGAGAGACTTACAGCTGATTTGGCCGCCAGAGCAAGCATCACCTCGTACCACTGACGACTGTCATCTGAAGAGGCCTCTACACGGCGCTAAAATTTAGAAGAAAATAGATTCGATTATACTAAAGGAGATGTCAAAATATGCTCCTTTTTTTACTTGCTCCTTCTGCACTATTAGACAAAATCTTATTACTATATCAAATTGTATACCAATACTTCTAGGTAATATGAACTTATGAGGTATACAGTGTACAATGCAATGAGGCAACTTTTTCATTAAAATATTGCAGATTGATCTGTATACATTTTTTTTTACTTTTTTTTTGAAATGCCATTTATTTATCTTTGTTAAAAAGTTGATACCTTCACAACATTTTATTGTAAACGATATTTAGATATTGGCAGAAAATCAGAATAGTCAATAGTTTTAGTCGGAAAAGTTAAACTGTACTCATATTGCGATAAATGTCAAGTAATTAAATATAGGAATTGTTCGTGCAAATTTGGAACATTTTTTTGGCTACAAAATTATAGAAACAATTATTTTTATGACTGCATTGAAAATCGTCGGAAACCCATGGTCAGTCTTGCTTCTCAAGATTACCTCCCGGAGGTAGGGGAGAGGCGGACCGACTTGGGGTTTCCGACGATGAGAATAGAAGAAATGTTGCTCATTGTCAAGTGGACATGAGGTCGTTAGAGAACTAAATATTTTTTTAAAATATATAAAAAATAATAAAATAAATTATAAAACAAAGGCTTCGTATTTGATAGGGAAAACAATATCCAAAATTAAAGAATACCAATCTCTCTATAGTCAAAGGGGAGTAACTCAAATTACGGTTGCTGCTGAGTGTGCTCCCCTTATGATAGCTTTGTGTATTTACAGATGAGAGGTTTCAGAGGATTGCAAACAACAATAACTCAATCCAATGATGAATATGAACAGGTAAGTTTTTTAATAGATGTGACCTAAATTTAGTTCTGTAATCACGAATATTTTGGAATGTTCTCCCTTATTTTTGTATAGGCTAGCTCGTATTTCCTCCGTTCTTTGATTTTGCAGTCAACCTTTAAGCCTTTTTTTTAAATTATCATTATTTATTATTAATAATTTTTTTTAAATATGACTATATATATATATATATATATTAGCATAAAGTATAATTACTAAACATGTATGTAATGAAGAGGTGATTGATTTGGTCGTCCCACAGTATCTACCTTACGCCATAACTATTATTCCACCCGTACCCACCCCCTTTTTTCATTCCCTACATTTATTTTTTTGAGAGATCGGTTGCTAATTGCATGTTTTCATTATTCTTTTACTTATGTGACTTCAAGAATATGAATATTGTAAATTAAACATGTAAAATTATAAAGAAACATGTCGAAATTAATGAAACAGTCATTAGGCCTTTGACTTTTTTTTGGAAATAGTGTAAAAATGCACTGTATTTCATAAACAAGCTAATTTAAGACAATAAAATTTTATTTTCTGAAGAATTACCCTCTTAGACACATTCTTGCTCTTTCTCTCGCAAGATCTTTCTCTTTTCATAGTGATATTTGAGATTTTTGTCGCTCTGTGAAAAGCACGTCTACTCGCCACTGATCGAAACGAGTAACTAACGACGATCACCACAACGCAACACTCCTTAGCGGTTACTAAGCGTGACATCATCACCAATGGCAACGCCTAAGGCTAAAAAATACTTTGGTGGATTCAAGGGGGCGCACCCCCTTTTCCCCCTTTAAATAAAAACATTCTTAATAAATTTATATTCTTGAATTCATAATAACTAATTTATATTGTGAGTTTCTGTTGAATTAGATTTAAATGACGTTTATAGCCTTCCAAATTTTCCGGCGGGTAATTTTATGACCTCATGCAACTTATGATTACATGTGAAAACATTTCAGACATTTTATTTTAAAAAACCTGATTAGAAACTTTTTTTTCTGAAAAATAATTAGGTCTATAAGTTAAACTACGAATTTTGAGAGTGTTTGCCGGGATTGACATACATCCTTTGACTTTTACGAACTACAATTTATTCTTATAGTATCTAAAAATGGTGGGAAATCTATGGTGTAAGCTATTTATTTGATAAAAGATATTAAAACTATAATAAAAAAGTCAGTATAGAAATGTACATGTATGAATGCAAAACCAACACGCCCAGTTTTGCCAATCCATTTTCAATGATGTGTGCGAAGCTAGTGTTAGGAATCGAACACACTCGGTAAAATATATCAGAGCTGATGCCCATGTCTACAATCACGGGTGTTTGGTGTAAGGTTATGATGAATGCAGATGCCATTGAATATTAACATTTTCATGCAAGCTTCAATAATTAAACTGAAAGTATTTTAAAAATGAATATAGAAATTTAAAATTGTAAACAGAACTGCAATGCACTGTTGTCCATGTCCCTTAAAGGAGAGACGATACAAACTTCTTTTCAAATTCATGAAAATAACAATCAAATGTAAATTTATACAAGTAAAATGAAAAGATTTAGTCACACATAATTTAATTTTTCATCCAAAGTTCCTCAACAATTTTCTATTAAGTGATAAAAAAAATTATATGGATTTACTAGACTAAGTATAAGGGTGGCGGGAAAAAGGAAGAAAATTGAACATCATCGAAAGTCTACAATTAAGAGAATTAATATATATGCCTCATTTATATAACCAAAATAATTCACAAATATACATACTATAGTTCATGATTCCAACTTTATTTGTGAAGCATCTGTCCTTTAGCTTTTTTTTTTTTTAATTTGTGCCCATTTACCAGGGAAATCGTGGATCTGCCTCTGGGATATAATTCACAGTTGTAGATCATTAAAGTTAGCCGTGAACAATCATGGCATATGAGTGGTCTTGACATCTACCGTCATAAGCTATACATGTACGTCTTCTGTGGCTGCATGAAAAGTTTGAAAAAAAAAATGGAATCACTTTAAAATACTTTAGTATACCAAGTTTTTTTAAAGGTCTTTTCAGCTCATTATATGTTACCGGCAAAAAACAAACTGATCTAGGATAAGAAAAGTATGCTTACGTGCACTGATTTATACTTTACAAATATCGTCTCCCCGTCTCTCTAAATGTATGCCCCCCTCAACTTTACCCCAAATGGTTTTATATACACGTTTTCTGGCTTGTATGGAACCTTCCCGGGAAAATTCCTCGATTCACTCTTGATTTTTACGACACAAGGTCTTGGTTGACCCATTCAAAAGGTGTAATATTAGACGGGGAAAAAATTTTATCGACGAGGATGGGATTCGAACCCACGCGGGGAGACCCCAATGGATTAGCAGTCCATCGCCTTAACCACTCGGCCACCTCGTCTTGGTATCCCAAATTGATAAAAAGAAATTATATTCTGTTGCCTTACGGGGACACCTTCAGTCAAATGTACACAAGCAACTTGACACGTCTCCGCAGTTTTAATTCTTCATTCTTGTACAAGGTCATTCTAATCTAAATCGTGATTCATTATAAAACGTTTTGCATATTCTTCGGATAAAAACGAGTACATTAAACCAGAGACTGATTAAACGGTTTACATGACTAAGCATCTTAAGTAATTAATATGACCATGATGACCTTTCATAAAAAAAAATATTTCATTTTTTAACACTTCATCTCTTTTGTCTTACAATATCTAACGTCTTTCTTCTAATTATTTTTTTTTTCGTTTTTATCAGGAAATTTCATTTTTAAAGTGGCATGACTGACTCAGTTTAAAAACGCACTAAGCATTTGTAAAGCATGATAATGACAGTGATTGTTAACTATTTTAAGAATTTCTCCCAAACATTGATCGTGGACACAGCTAATTAACATAATTAATACCGAAAAGCGAATCTATACTTCAGTAATGTGTATTGGTTAGTTAGTTATTTTTAAACAGTATTTCAATATGCAGTAATGTAGGTACGGACGATTATATGCAAGAAGATCTAAAGAAGATGAAAGAAGTTTTTAGCTGAAACAGAATGTAAGATTTTTTTTTGTAAAAAATCTCGAAAGTTTCATTGTATATTTTTTAAAATGAATTTTAATCTGGATCTTATGCAAGATAATTTTATCCTATAGGGATAACTGCATATTTATATGTAAGGCAGTTTGAATTTGTAGATCTCAGTTGACAACAGTCGCACATATCAAGTTTTAAAAAAAATGAACAATGAACTTTGAAAGAAGATATACTTTCTATATTACGTGTCGGATCTTGGCCAACAATTTAGAATGTAGTGAATTTCTTGTGATAAATTTTATTTGTAGAAAGAATATTATTCACCAAGAAAGATACCTTTAGAATGAATGTGTGCAGTCTTTATATAAATATATATGCTGTTTGAAAGCGAATGCAATTATGACATCATTTTTTGCATGCTGAAAATCTACAATAATCAAATGCCAATTATTATAACAGTCAATAAGTTCAAAAATGAGTTCCAAACAAATTATGACAATTACACATAATCTAAAGTACGGCCTCATGCATCCTCTGGGGCACGGAGAGGATAAGTAAGTAAGTAATGTATCTATCATATTTTATATAAATCAGTAAGCACCTTTTTCCTTCATGTGTGGTTCCATCAATATCCCGGACATGTGCGTCAACGTTCATTTTCACAGGTCAGCTTTTTTTTATGAAAGTCTATGTCAAAGGTTTAACTTGACATACCATGTTGAATACGACTCAAAATATTTTTATTTTTTTGTCTACATTTGCCTTAATTAATGCACTACACATTGAGATATTAATGTAAGCACAACATTATTACATATATAAAATATGTTATTATAATACATGTAATATGTTGACAGTGGATCAGTCTAACTATATAAAAGTACCCAGAAATTAGTGTGCAATGTAGAGAGGGTCTTTAACATAAAAAAAATTTGATAGGGTCAAATTGTAAACATATCCCAAGACAGAAGTTATAGGAAGGTGTGAATTAGTGATATTTACAGGGGACACCCAATTAGGCTGTCTAGCAGCACGTATATCACAAACTCAAAAAGACATAAAGAAAAAAATGCTACAATACATGATATAGTAATTATCACAAACTCAAAAGACATTAAAAAAAATGCTATAATATATGATATAGTAATTATTACTAGCTTTGATGAAAGAGAGTGTTAAATTACTTGCCATGTTTTATGTGTCAAGTAAAGCTTTTATTATAACATTCATACTAAGAATTGCCACAAAAAAAATCATCTGGCTGTAATCTGAATGGTCTGTTGGGTTACAACTAACAGTTTTTTTTAGGCTTTATTTTTAAAAAAATGAGTAATTTTAGGAAATTTAAACTTCTATATATAATATATGGAGTTACCCACATGGAACCAGATTGAGACCCAAAAGTATAAGTATAATTTTTCATACAAAATAATCCATACATGTAATGTCATTTGTAGCATGACAGATTTTGGAAGCGAGACTTGGTTTGGGAAAACCCCTGAAGATGTTCCACTTCTTGGACTGGATCAGTTCAGTGATGAGGTCTTTGCTAGCTACACAGGCCCTGAGGACGGACTGGGATTTGTTTTTAGAGATTCCAGTAAGTCAGTTCTGCTTTTCAATATTTTTCAAATTCAGAGCTGGTTATTTATAGTTGACATTTACATTTTTTAGCTTTATTTAAGGATTTTGTGAGTGTTGTTGGTGTGTAAATCACACAGACTTGTCATGAAGGTATTTCAGAAAGCATGCTAGCACTTCATGAAAAATATGCCTTTTTGCAAGTCTGTGTGATCTACACATCAATAACACTCACAAACTGAAAAAAAACAATCCTTATATTTACATTTTATATCTTTAAAACCAACATTAAAAACATTCAGTATTTGAATTTTTTTTTTACATCTTGGTGTAGTGATGTACCGATTAATCGATTAAATTGATTATCTAATCGAAATGACCCCTGATAATAGATAATCGATTATAATTTTGATAATCAATTAATGAAAATATTAGTTAAAAGCAAATTATTCCTTAGATTTTTGATTCTTTGAATTTAACTGAATCCTAAATAATAATCTAACAAATGAATCCAATGATACAAAATATATCAAAAATGTAACCTAGAAATCACTCCAGAATTTTTTACCAATTTATTTTTCATTCAAAATTGAACAAATGAAATACTTGAAATCAATTGATTATTAATCGATTATAGTGCACCTGATTATTCCAGTAATTGATTATGAAAAAAATTCTGATTTCCCATCACTATCTTGGTGGCCTCATTATCACTTTAACGCACATTTCTCCATGTATATTTCAACATGTAACTAAAATCTATTTCTAATCATAGTTGGCTTAGTAAAAAACACAGCAAATGTTAGTATTTCCCTTTGCGGGGTCAATCTGGGATCAACAAGCATAAGGTACTGTTTCTCCTCTGTAAAATTACTAGTGTTATGGGGCAATGTCAGACAAATGAAATCTACATCATTATGTATAGGATCATTATATTTTTTTTGGCTCCATACTACACTATTATTATGCTATGCCAGTAATATAGTAATAATAGAAAGTTTTTCAAGAGTGTGTGAAGCTTAATTAAAAATAATTACAGGTATTACAGTTACAAAGGATTTAGTGAGAAAAATACTCTGACAAAGGGGGATAATTTTAATAATGTGAAAGCAATCCATTCTGCAGCATTCACTGGGTCAGGTTTTTATCTTCTAATGGAAACAGTCCTCCACTAATTGATAACTGCTGAAAAAAATTCTGAAAGTTGTCACTGGGAACTATGACACCATTTTAAAGCAAGCTTCTACTATCATCAATCCCTGGGGTATATCTTGATAGGTTTTTCTAATACATTAATGAAATTGTCCTGATATATTAGATGGACTGTGAGTTTAACATTAAAGAGATTTTGATGAACAAAAAGCTTGGAGAAAAAGTAATCTCAAGAAAAACTATTAAATCACAAATATTACACTAAGTAGTTATTTTTTTTAGTGTTTTACAGACTGTATAAATGCTTCCAGATATATATATATATATTTATATATATATAATTATATATATATATATATATATATATATATATATATATATATATATATATATATATATATATATATATATATATATATATATATATACACTGAACCAAACTTCTAAGTGTTCACCTAACTTTTTTTAAGTTTTAAAAAAACAAATGCATACAATAAATAATTTCTTTAATTCATGGTTAATGATGCATATTTCAGTTCGATGTTGCGTAAATTTCGTGTAAGTGTCTCGTCAGAATTTTAAGCAAAGTGTCAAGGACATGATGTACCCTCAAAATGAAAATTCACATAAAATAATCTCTAAGGAATAAGACCACCACTCACTTAAATTACTGCAAGGCATATTCTTTTCTCATGGATACCATGAACCCCTGAATAGGATATTGATCCATCTGCTGCCACACCTACTGCATGGATCTTTCTAAACCGTTGAAGTTGTGTGGAGGGGGGGGGGGGGGTGCTTTGACATTCCTTACAAAAATCCCAAATGTATTCAATAGGATTCAGATCCGGGAATTTGATAGTGCATCATCACAGATACCTTTTGGTCAATATTCTTTGGCGTTTTGCACGTAAGTGTACCTCTTTAAGGATGATTCAGACTGTTTGAGATGATATTAGACTGCCACAAGCACCAATTTCTTATCATTTTCTTACCATTTAAGTCGTTTGTTTTAATGTTTCTAAAATTGTTTCAGGACAATGTAACAAACTTTTAACCTAGTTGTGATGCGAAACGTTGGCCTCAGACGAAGATCCAGATCACTTCCGGTTTGATGAAATTTTGTCCAAAACTTTCAAATTGTGACAAGTTGGCGATGAAAATGACGCAGAACCTATAGAAAAATGTGTTTTAATGGGTTTTTATACTTGTTGTTAATTTTTAAAAGTAATATCAAGGACAAATGAACACTAAAATAAAAGTGAGTAAAACATGGTGCAAGGATGATCCGGATAACAACATTCCAACGGTTCTCCCCCATTTTGCCAATGTTTTGTGTTTTTTAGTTAAACCAGTTTTCAAAAATTGAAAATGGTCACAAAAAGATGCTGATCACACAAAACACTTGCCGCAAAGTACAGATTTATTGTTTTTACGCTTCGTCATGGTACATTGGTTTTCATCAGTGATAATTAATTTTCTTTCAATAATTGTTGAGAAGACTCGTTGGTTATAATAATTTGAAAATATCATACCATTCTATCTTGTAGTTTTTAAATAAATACTTTTATTAGAGTGAACACTTAGAAGTTTTGTTAAGTGTATATATATTATATATATATATATATATATATATATATATATATATATATATATATATATATATATATATATATATATATATATATATATGAGAAATGAAAATGTCAGTGAGATGAAATATATCCCACTGTTTGTAGAATACATGTAATTGTATGAAGGTGTTAACAGATAGCGCATAATGCAAATATTGAATTAAAGATTGTAGGGTTAAAGCAGGTAAAATGCAAAATATAAACATTTTACATATTATCCCTCCTCCCCCTCCCTCTCCAACAAAAAAAAGTGAATAAATTTTCTTGTATTTATTAATCTTTGTGAGTATATAGCTTTCTAAAAATAATATTGTTCATTTATAAACTTTATAGCTGAACATTTTTTTTCCTTGAACTATAATTTAATGCTATTCTCTTTTTTTCATTAAAAAAAACAATTATACTTGTAGGCAGTAGCATTATACCTTCCAATACATACATAGAGGCAGCAGGGGTCAAAAATTGGAACATCAAGGACCAGAAAGCTTATGGGATTTGTATTTCTCTGTATGAACAACACCCTGTTAATGGCAAGATGTCAGGTATCTACAAAAATGCAGATTTTAAAATTGTTTTTTGAATCATGTACAATGTTCCAAATTTTTACAGACAATTATATCACAATTCAGTTCTTAAAAGAAGATTTGAATCAAGGAAAATTTTAAACTAAGCAAAATTCATGGTACTGACTGAAAACCTTAACGGAATAAGCAAAAATATCTAATACAAGGGACTCTGACTGCCAGTTATGAGTATAGTTAGAAATATTTAATACTATTTGCTTAAATAATTTTAACTGTAAATCAGCTGCTAATGTATTGGATGCTTGAAGTCGATAAACGCTCTGTTATTAATTTATCAGAACCAGATGCAGTCTAAGGCCACATAAATTTAAAATTTAGATTCTCATCCTAATTTGCTAAAAAATTGGGGCGGGTGGGCGGATTTTATTTTTTATTTTTTATAATTGAAAGTATCAACAAAACATTCGTACACATAATTTTTACATTATGTTAATGCCAATATGAATAGATTTTATTGTTTTCATATTCTTTTAAATATCTACAGAAGTTTCTTGTTATAGAAAAATATTTATAGTTTTATTAACAAATTATCAAGTACACAGATACGGCACATGCCAAACAAAATGAGGTGCTGATCGTAACAAATTGCATATGCATGTTTTCTCATCGGCCTTTCCCCAAATACCTTATAGTTTTACCAACAACTCCTTCTGTTCTGTGTGATATATCACAGATTTCCACTGTCCTCATACATTCAATCGTTCTTGAGACTTGACATGTTTGAAATTAAAATATATATCATATTTGCAAAACAGGATTGGGTAAATCTGTGAAATATTCTACTGAAAAGCCTAGGCCTGAACAGTTTTAAGATTTAACATTTCCTAAGCACTATTATTCTCTAAAATCTTTGAACGATGTTTTATTTTTTTTTAAATGCAAAATCACATATAACTGGAGAACGCTATTTAAAACTTGACCATGTGTCATTTTCTTCGTCTGTTTTTACTTGGTTAAAATCTCTTTAAAAACTTGTTCATGCCAGTGATAGTATCTAGATGTGTTTATGTTATTTTTACTTTTCTGCCTTCTCTATACTGACAAATTATCTTTACCTTACATATTTAAACTGCTTTTATTGCCGATTTTTCTCCATTCTTCACATAGTTTTTTTTTTTTTTTTTTTTGCTATAAATAGCGCCACGCGACTTTTAATACAGACGGGAGATAACTCTTAAATTTTGACCCAGATTCTTGCTGAATAAAAATACTTGAAAATAATACGTTTGACACTCAAAAAGCAAAATAAAAAACAAAGGGGCGGGGCACTTTGAGAGGGGCGGGCGGGGATGAGAATCTAAAGTTTAGTTTTACCTGGCCTAATGCTAAAGCATTCAAATTTGTTCAATTACATACGAAAATTAAATTTGCCTGGAATGGGTCAAGTGTTAAATTGTACATTGGACTAAGATGTGAATACAGTGCATTTGGTGTAATTGGTGTGAAAGCTACATATAATTAAAAAAGTTTCAAAATTTTTACATAGGTGATCCTATTGCTGATGCCTTTGCATTATGTGCCAGGAAAAACAACTGTATCCTGCTGATAGCTGATGGTGTGAACTGGGGAGAGAAGTCTCGATTAGCTGCCAGATGTGCCTTATATGGAGCCATGAAATACCTCAACCGTAAACTATTCCAGGAGCGCCAACAACCACAGAATACACAAGTATGAATGGGTTATTTTTTTTAAAGCTAAATCATTCTGTAGGTTATAAGCAATTTTTAAGTAACATTTAAGGATTAATGGACTCTAAAATAGAAAATATATGCAAATTTATCAGAAAACTAAGCACTCAAATTAGTTATCATTATTATCATTACTTCATTTATTATCTTTGAGGTTGAATTCATGGAATTTTCCTTAAAGAAGGTAAAATGATGTGAAAAGTGAGAATACAAAATGTATCGTATATATATTCATGAATAAGTCAGTATTATGGGAGTCAAATTTTTGTCCAAAACTCTTTGTTTGACTTAAAAGCTAGTCGTAAAAACATCAATACTTATCTGGAAGATGAGATGTTTTGTAATAATGTCAACAATTATCATTGATAAGAGTAGAGACATAAGATTTTTTAATGCAGGAAAGGAATAGATAAAGTTAGGCCAAATAAAAAAATATGTGTGGTTCCGGTTACCCGACTGTCCCTATTTTATACCCCCGACCCTAAACTTTTTTTTGATAATTTTCAAATTTCCAGAATTTTCCCTGATTTCCCTCATTGGCTCCGGTATTAGTTTTATTTTCAGCAATGGTGGCCTTCTTTAACAACATCGTTTCAACACGAAGTACAAGTGTTTTGTCAGTTACAAATGTCACCACTTGAAAGAAAGCAATAGTATTATCTCACCAATATCACCAATAGTTAATTCAAGAACATTCAATGATATTATTGACTTTTATTATATTAAAAAAAAAAAAAAAAAAAAAAACTACCTACCTACCCTAATTTGTTTGGAGGTGTAACCGGAACCACACATATTTTTTTATTTGGCCTTACCATATGCATAACTAACAAGTTCATACAGAATTATTGATTTTATTTTGTTGGGGGGGGGGGGGATTTAATTGTTTATAAAAGATCAAACACAGAAGTCATACTCAAAAACACAGGTAAATACAATAAAATATTGATCTGAAATTGAGAAGCAATTCTGGCAAAACACACACACACACATACACACACACCGACTTTAAGTGAGTCGATGGCAAATTCCTTCAAAATACTTTGAAAAATAAAACCAACATAAGCAAGCTGACATACATGTGAGTGTATACTGTAAGGGCTAGCCAAACATTACATACAAAGTAATTTTTGTGGATGTCACTTTCTACATAGCTTGTATCAGGATAGGTACCAGGATTAGACATAATATTGTTTGTTGAAGTATCACAGCGTTGACTTAAAATGATCTTTAAGAAAGTTTTAGTGTTTTTCTGCATACATCAGTATAACCATGTTGTAATTGTGTTTTTGTAGGAGGCCCTTGTGCTGCTAAGACAGGCTTTTGATGCAGCCCATTCAACTATTCTTGACAGGGATGGTGGTCTCACCACTATGTGTGCCTGCATGGTTTGTCCCGTGAAAAATTCTAAACAGTTTGCTGTCTGCTGTGTAAATGTAGGGGACAGTTACGGTTACTTGTTTAGTCATCGCTATGGTATCAGGGAACTCACCATTGGATCACATGACATTACATCAGAGCGGGACATTCGTGATGCAGGTGGTGCCATAGGTCCAGTATGCGGTAACAATCCAGAACTACAGAATCTAACATGTTCTCTATCATTCTGTGAGGCAGGTGATATTGTGTTCTTAACAACTGATGGGATATCAGATAACTTTGATCCAGTTGTGACAAAAGCTGCATTGCCAAGAAAAATAAATGATGCCAACAGCAATGAGCTTTCCCCAAACTCCATGGATTCAGGGAAACCTGAAATGGAGCCAAGTGAGAGACATTTGTATGCTATGAAACAAATGGAGAGGGTTGTGTATGAGTTTGAACTAGTTACAGAAGAACAGTGCTCAGCTCAGGAATTATGTGGAGCCTTAGTTCAGCATGTGCTCCGTCTCACAGACGCTAAGAGAAAAATACTAGAGAACCCCCAGCTCTATGTAAGACGAAGGCTTACCCAAAAGGAGAAGGAAAAACGAGATTCAGACATTGTAAATCAAATGGGCAAAGCCCCAGGGAAATTAGATCATGCTTCCATTGTGGCCTTTGAGGTCGGCATTATGAAGAGAAATGAAGAAGAAATGGAAAGTATTCCACTGATTGAAACTGTGCAAGGATTAGAATCAGTTTCTGAATCTGAAGAATGTCCATCAAGTTCAGGACCATTGTCTCCCACCCACAAAAAATCACGTCCAAGGAAACTATTTGCAAGAATTAAAAATCTGAGTGTAAACACTAATGGCCATAGTTCTTCTAGTCCAGTCACTAGTCCTAAAAGTGCTCCAGTTTCACCAAGGAAGTTCTCATTCAAAAGGTCAAGGTCAAAAACAACCGAGACAACCTCTCCAATAAGCCCTGAACCCACCTCCCCCTCAGATATCCCTTCCCCATCCCTAGTCAGTCCTTCCAGTGTATTTCCTGTGCCAGCCCCACGCAGAAAACACCGTCAGGCTTCTCGTGAGTCATCAGTGTAATTTTGTTCTATATGAACTACGTAGTATATGCTGCTCAAAAGGTCATTATATTGGCAAGGGCGTATTTATTAATATTTTATTTATGGTATTATAGGCATTACTAATGACTGCAGGGTAAACACTAATCAAATTAGTATCAATGATGTAATATGTTTTTAGAGATAAGTTGTCACAATTTCTGAACATTTTAACCATTCATTCAATGAAAAAATTAGAAAGGACAGAGGTACATTTTTTTTAACAAGGGTTAGTTTTAGATTTATGAGAATTTTTTATGGAGGAAAAAAAATCTTATGTATCAAATTACCAAAAAAGTAATGTGTACAGTGAAACACTTAAACCAGAGGCTCAGTGGATGGTTTATGAGTATAACAGTATTAAGATGGTAAAATATGGATATAGCAAGGCAAAGAGCAGAGCTGTATAGATATTGACTGTAGCCAGGCTGTTATGAAAGTTTTATTTGTGTACTAGTAATTCTCTCCCTGAACATGAAATGTATCTTGTATATCATTTTAAAAACAAGTTGAAAATCTTACTTTTAATAGCAATTAATGTTTTCAGTCCATTTTCGTAACTATGTACAATTTAATAAAATTTTCATATAAGATCTTGAATTGTTTGATTTTATGCTGGGTAAATATAAATACATACCTTTTTTTGAGCCCCGCCATGAATATGAGGGGGGCATATAGTGTTTGTCATGTCCGTCTTCCGTCCCGCTGTCCTCCCATCCTTCTGTCCTTCCGTTTGTCCTTCCGTCACACTTTGTGTTAAAGAAACTATTCATGATGTTATTGTCAAACTTATATGCTGATACATATTGATGAGAGCTATTCAACTTCATTAACATTTTTTGACCTTTCCCTTTCCTTTGACCTTGACCTCCCTTTCTTAAATTAGTGATTTCTCAATTTCAAATAAACTTAAGATATTCTTATCAAGTCTTGTATGCTTATATACCAGTATATACATGTATATTGATGAGAGCATTTTTTTTTTTTGGAGGTTGGCTTTTCCTTTGACCTTTACCTCACTTACCTTAAAATGGTATTAAGCTTCATTAAAAAAAAAAAAAAAAAAAAAAAACTATTCAAAGATATTTTAATCAAATCTAATATGCTGATACACATTGGTGAGAGCTATTCAACTGCATCAACATTTTTTTATGCCCCCGTAATCGAAGATTCAGGGGCATATAGTTTTTTCCCTGTCCGTCCGTCTGTTTGTCTGTCTGTCTGTTTGTCCGCAAAAACTTTAACCTTGCTCATAACTTTTGATTAGTTGGAGCTATGGCTTTCATATTTCACATGTATATTTCTTGTGACAAGACCTTTCTTTGGGTACCATAAAATTTGACCTTTTGACCTTGACCTTAGAGTTTGACCCACTTTTGCAAAATTTTACCAAACTTTAACCTTGGCCATAACTTTTGAATAGTTGGTTCTAGGGCTTTCAATCTTCACATAGGTATACCTTGTGACAAGACCTTCCTTCGGATACCAACAACTTTGACCTTGACCTTGGTGTTTGACCTACTTTTGGAAAAACGATAACCTTGGCCATGACTTTTGAACTGTTCATGCTAGGGCTTTCATACTTCACATGTGTAATCCTTGTGATAGAACCTTTCTTTGGATACCAACAACTTTGATCCTTTGACCTACATCTTGGAGTTTGACCTACTTTTGAAAGACTTTAACCTTGGATATAATTTTTGAACGGTTGGTGCTAGGGCGTTCATATTTCACATGTGTATTTCTTGTGAGAAGACCATTAATTTTGACCATTTGAACTTGATCTTGAAGTTTGACTTACTTTTGAAAAACTTTAACCTTTTCCATATCTATTCAATGGTTGCTGGTAGGGTTTTCATGTTTCACAGGTATATTCCTCGAGACAAGACCTTACTTTAGGTACCAACGTATTTGATTTGCATTCGAGAAAGTTTTACCTTTGTTATGAGTTGCCATACGGGGGCATCAGTGTTTCACAAACACATTTTGTTTACCTTTCCCTTTCCTTTAAAGTTGACTTCAAAATTTGTTTTTAGTTTAATTTCAAAGAAAGTATTTAAGATATTTTTATCAAACTTTATATGCTTATGCATATTGATGAGAGCTATTCAATGTCATCAATATTTTTAACCTTGACGTTTCCTTTGTCCTTGACTTCACGTTTATCAAATTTGTTTTTGTTTTGTTTTTGCTCAAATAAACTATTATTCCAGATATTTTTTATGTAAGCTATGCACTAATACCAGGGTACATTATTTGGTGAGAATTTATCAACTGTGTCCATTTTTTTTTTACTTTGAACTTCCCATTGGCCTTTGACTTTAAAATTTATTGCGTATTAAACTCAGTTTTAAAGAAACTATTCAAGATATTTTTCATCAATTTTCCTACACTAATACAGATTTTTGTGTTGCATTACGAATGAATCCTGGACAGGGCATTCATGTCCTAGTTTTCTAGAGGGTTTTGGCATGACGTGATGCTATGCCCTCATGCCTTTGTTTTGGACTTGGACCTAAACTTTATAATTAGAAGTAGCAAAAAAAGTTTTTGATATACACACACTATTACAGGGTGGCTTGTGGCTTCCAAAAAAACAAAGTAAATGATATTAAAATATAGTTGTTTATTTGCCATTTAGTTTCAAACACACGCATTGTTCAGTGGTCAATGGTCCATACATTATGAAATGGTTGTGATGGCACAATGGCACTGCTTGGAATAATTTAAATGGACCTTAATGGGACCTATAATATAAATCAAAGATATATACAAACACAATTCATTTCACTCATACTTGCATATTTTACTGTACATTTATTATGATGCATTTTACTGCATTTTCTTACTAGCTCACAATATACACTATACTTCAATATACATTTTACTACTTATTTAAATATATTTACAGAACTTTTAATACGTTCACGCATTGACTTGGTAACACTTATATTACATACAGACAATAACTGGTCATTGTGACACGATTGCTACGCACTCGTCCACCCCCAAATTTGTATCAACGATACAGTACCTGTCTCGTTCTCTAAATAATACTAATTTTGCAAATTATATCATATTGACATTAACACGCACTTTGTGAATGATCAGCAATGAATCGCACAATTATACAGTTTATTTGGCTTGAATAAGGGGGTGCATCCCAGACATACTCTTACAAATTTATGTCTAGATGAAATGCGTGGGAAAAAATAGCTCACAACCTAAATGCTTATTACATTTTGTGTAACCATACAGTGCCCCCCCCCCCCCCCCCCCGTTTTGTGAACCATTAAGAATGGACTATTTCGAACTAACTTGGCACAGCCATGTGGTATATATTCAAGCATCCTTGCTTTCTTCCTCTGTATCCTCCAATTTACAAGTTGCTGAGTAACAGCCACCTAAAGCGGTCGTTGTTGCTCTTCAGCTGAACAGCTTTGCTCGAAGTTTTGTTAAAAATTTCAAAGGTATTAATCATGCTTCCAGTGTAAAATTTAAGAAAAACTTCCAATAATTGTTGGATGGCCTTTCAACTGGGTTCTTTGCACGATGTTGATTACTAGTATATCTGTCAGCTCTCATGTACCTCTAGAAAGCAGCAACAGCCAGAGTACACATGTACAAGATTATGTCCACCTGTACGGCACTTAACTGGACAATAATTGTTAATTAAAATCTACAAATATTAAGGATGCAATATGTGTGCTTCCAAATGGCTTAAGATGGCTTTTAGGTGATGAATTCCATTATGTAATGGAGTGTCCATACTTTTCTTCATTACGTATGAAACTTATTGATAAGAAGTATTGTTTTCATGTAAATACTTACAAGTTTGAGAATCTTATCTCCACCACAAATGTTGACTCACTGATAAAGCTGTCTTTGTTTGTTAAAAAGATATTGGCCCGTTTTCAGTAATACTCTCATTTGATACTACCCTTCCTTACTTGACTTTGTATTTTGTATATATTATGTAAATATGTTCATGTACCTCATATACCATTGTATGGTCTGAGAGAGAAATTGCAAAACTTGTTTGTTTAGCCAAGAATAATTTATTTACTTACTTTAGATGAAGTTTTTTGTTCTTGTGTTTACGAGTATTGTTAATTTCTAAGATCCTGAAGCAAGCCCTACAGAGGCAGCAATTAAGAGGTTAATAATTGCAAGCATTTTAACATTCTGATATAGTAGTTTAATTAGGTGTGACTTCCGACTATGTGTCATCTTTATATTTATTTTACTTCACCAGGATTATACTGGAAATACCAGAAGTGGGAAATCACAAGGGTAAATTTATTCAAGTAATAAAGAGAAAATATTTTTTATGGACTTTTCTTTTTTTAACTTTATAATTAAGTGTCAGATTTATGTTATAGAAATAAGTCTTTATCTTTATATTTGGCAAATATCTTTAAGCTTCTAAAGAAAAATTGGAAATGAAAAGGATTCAAATTGGACACAAACGTTGCATTATGCTGACACCCCTACCCCCAACACTACCACACACACCCTCACACACCCACACCCACCCTCACACACACACACACACACATCAAATTCTGTTACCGTGAATTAGAGGCCAGTGGCCATATCTATAAAAGGATTTCAATATTTCCTCCATTAATGCACTTAAATTAAGAAGAGAAAGAAAAAATCCAAGTATACTAGTTATTGAAATTGTAGGAAAAGTTTCTGAATAGGATGATATCTACTTAATTGAGAAATAACAGAACAACAGAATAAAAGCATTAATTAAAATCTACAACAACAAAAAAATTCTGTACCGGCATCAGTATAAGAAGTACAACTTTTTTCTCTTTCTTTCTTTCTGTACTTTAGTGCATCTCACCCTGGAGGATATTATTACATTAAATGTTATATATTATTTAATTTATGTTTTAATTTTGATTCGTTGCATGCGAATTGGTTTGGCCTGAATACATTTGTCTGCACGTGAAAAGCCTATTAATTTTTATGAATTTTAACGAAACTCGAATACTGTTATCTTATTTTAAATGTTAAATGTTTCCATTACATACCCATAAAGTAAGTTTGTACAATTAATTTTACCAAGATCAAGATTGATGACATGAAAAGTGACAAGCAAATTTGTGGAATGTCTAACTTTAATTGCGTGCTAAGAAAGATCTCATTTAAAAGTTGGCGGCGAAAAGTTACGGAAACGCCTGGAATAAGCTGTTTTCCATCCCTCAACAATTCCTCTTCCTTTACCATCAATATTTTGAAGTATGAATTTAGATGCTTTAAAAATAAATTGCTGTTGGTAATTTTCGTTCTTTGCTGTTTTTCAGTCTGTCTTCTGTAAAATGGTAATACGGGATTTTTCCTCTCTCAAAGTTGAATACTCTCTGTAAATTACTATACTTTGAATCTGATTATTGTCGTATATATGTATATGAGATCAACTGTTTTTAGTAATTAAGAGGAGGATAAACAATGTTTCACTAAGTTATATCAATTAAAAAACAGGGTTCAACGCCTTACTCATGACTTTGAATGGGCATAATTTGCAGATCTTTTGTCAATTCTTTTTCTTCTTGCTATATTGAAAATAGGTGAATGCACG